TCCAAGTCCACACAACCATCATTCATCCTTTCTTAGCTCCTTCCTGCAGGCAGTAGACGGTGGTTAGAAAGATCAACCCTCAACCCCGTACCCAAATCCAGGCCCAGGCCCAGGCCCAGGCCCTCCCGTTGTTCGTCGATTTGCTCGAGCGGGCCCAGTAACGTCTCCATTGGAGACTTTGTTGTTACTGTGTTTGGCATATCGAATACGTGACGCGGAGCTTGCCAGGCTCTGCCGTGCGGGCGAGATATTCTCGGTAGCTTGCTGGGCTCTCCGAGAGGGGCGGAGGAATCGAACTCGGGTCGGCCATGTTGGCTGCGTGCAAGGCTAACGCCCTACCGCTGTGTTATCGCTCCCCATGACGTATTCGATATGCCAAAGACAGTAACAACAAAGTCTCCAATGGAGACGTTACTGGGCCCGCTCGAGCAAATCGACGAACATATTTTAGGGCTGGAGCGATAGCACAGCGGTAGGGCGTTTGCCTTGCACACAGCCAACATGGCCATACCCAAATACCTCTCATGAATAGAAATGTCTCATTGCATACATTGAGTACATATTAGCATGTGCAGTTCAATGCCGGTTCATTCAATTCCTTTCTCTAACCAATTTGACAAATATTTACTGAGTTCCTCAAAAGGACCCAGACAAATAATATATGTCACTGACCAGGTCCCAGAGCCAAAGGACAACAGAGTTTATAAGCTGGGCAATGGACCTGCTGTTAAAACAAGCTCCCAATTTGGGGATCATCCCGAGTTGGAAGCACATTAATTCATTGCAGGAAGTTTGAAGATAGGTTTTTATTTTATTTTATTTATTTTTTAAAAAATTTTTATTAGTGAAACACCATGAGGTACAGTTGTAGACTTACAAATTTTTGTGCTTGGGTTTCAGTTATACAATGATCACGTACCCATCCCTCCACCAGTGCCCATTTCCCACCACCACGGATCTCAGTATCCCTCCAACCCCCCCCCCCCCCCACCCCATTCCACCCTGCCTCTGTGGCAGGGCACTCCCTTTTGTTCTCTCTCTCCTTTTGGGTGCTGTGGTTTGCAAAAGAGGAATTGAGTGGCAATAAAATTCGGTCTATAGTCTACTTTCAGCATGCATTTCCCATCCTGGGCGGATCTTCCCAACACCCTTTATTTGGTTCTCCCTTCTAGGCCTTTACCCCTAGAGTGTGAGGCTGGCCTCCAAGCCGTGGAGTAAACTTCCTGGTATTTATCTCGGCTATTCTTGGATGTTAGTGTCCTATTTTGTTACTTTATGTTTCCCAGATGAATGCAAAAAGATATGTTTTTAGTCCTTGGTTATTCAAGTAATGGTTTTTGAGTGGTTGGTTACCTCCATGACTGTTTCGATTTTGCCGTCACAGGTAGACTGCATTTTTTGGGCAGCCTAGACCTGGCTGACACCCCTTTCACAATCTCTTGGCACAAAGTGTCAAAATGAATTTGCTGGGAGCCCCTCTGGACCCATACATACTTTTGCTGTCCTGCTATGGGACACTTGGGATCTCTTACTCTCCGTAGGGATGGGCAGAAAGTGGACAGGCCTGGCTCCTTCCTGCAGTTCGGCCCACACCCCCTGAGTCTGCAGTGAGGAGCAAGGGCGGAGGTGGGGACATCACTCCCCTGAGTGCCCCGGGCTCAACGGCTGGGGGAGTCCAGGGATCAGCTGCCCAAGTTTGGTGCTGTGGATGAGGCAGGCGAGGGCCGCCCTGCTAGAGGGGGTGGCAGGGGAGGCTGTGTGTCCTCTGTGTGCTCTGTTTAACCCCAGGCACAGACCAGCCAACCCTACACCCATTTTTTTTTCTTTTTGGGTCACACCCGGCGATGCTCAGGGGTTACTCCTGGCTCACGCCCTCAGGAATTACTCCTCCTGGCTCTGCACGCCTACCTGCTGTGCTATCACTCCCGCCCGCCCACCACACTTTCCCCAGGGAAGCAGGGGAGGCCGTGGAGGCCAGGGTCCAGACCACAGGCTGTCTCAGCAGCCCGGCCCCGTGTTCCATACCGCCAAAGGTCTCAGTGAAAGCCGGCGCATGGCACTGCTGACTCTCTTCTGTGGCTCTGGGGAGGGCGGAAGCTTTCCTGCACGTGTGTGTGTGTGTGTGTGTGTGTGTGTGTGTGTGTGTGTGTGTGTGTCTGTGGGGGCAAAATAATTTGTCATGAGAAATGGAGTCTTCAGGAGAAAGAAGCCTGGTCCCAGAGTCGAGTGCTCTTCCCAAAGAAGGCAGGGGTCACAGTTTCAGCTCCCCCAACAACTGAGAGGCCAATGACTGTTCGTCTGAAGGTGGATGTCTGGAGGTCTGCGAGTCACTGGACCCGATTTCTGGAGGTTTCCTGGCCACAAGCAGCCGTAGAGTTGTCTGGGGGCTGCCCTCTCAGCTCCGCCGGCTGCTCCCAATGTGCTAGGAGCCCCTCACACGGGGCCTAAATGAAAGTTGCGGCCCTTTCCACAAACAAGCCTCCCCATGAAAGCAGCCACACTTGTGGCTTAGGCCATGGCTCACAGCTAGGAACAGATTCTGCCTCTTGTGTGCCATGTGGATGCCCGTCAAGAGGTTTGACACCAAGCAGATGAGACTGTGGAACTGTGTGTGTTCAGACCTGCTTATGCCAGAGGCCAGCATAAGCCCCTCCTGATGGCGGGCGCAATTACCCTGCCACCATGAAGTGGCTCCCAAAGACAGGCCTCCATGGCATGACACGCAGGTGGCAGCACTAACCAGGGCTCCCCTCCACACTGATGTCCAGGACGGCCCAGGACTCCGGTTCATGGGTGCGTCGCCCCAGGTCAGAGAAACTGTACACTGCTTCTCTGCCGCCACCCTGGACCCCATTTCTGGCAGGAGAGCTAGGTAGAGGCCTCTCTGAGCACCCTGGCTGAAAAGGACCCTGACAGCGAGCTAATGATGGGCATAAGCTCAGGGAGCGCCTCACTCTGCAGCAGGGAGAGTGGTCAAAGGCTTGCAGAATTTTCCAGCCTGGAGGACCCCACACCTGCACAGTGAGTCTTCCTGCGAGTGGGTCCTCGAGGAACGCTCTGCTCAGCGCAGCTCTTTGGAGAAGACGGATCACAGAGGGAGCTGGGAGACCAGCTCTCCTACTCGGTGGGGCTGCCCGGGCCAGCCCAGGGCTCAGCCCGCAGAGCCTGCTGCTCAGGGAGCCTGGCTGCTTCCATCACCAGAGTGACTTCCATCTGCTCTTTCTCTCACACCCCAGCTGGGGTCACAGGTAAGGAGTGCTCCGGCTGCACAAACAATGCTGGGTTTGCAGACTCAGTAGCTCTAGAACATCTTCTGCTGACTCTCTTGGAAGCACAGGGGGAAGCAAGTGAAGAAAGAATATTTCGGGGCTGGAGCAATAGCACAGCGGGTAGGGCATTTGCCTTGCATGCGGCCAGCCCAGGTTCGATCCCCAGCATCCCATATGGTGCCCCAAGCTCCGCCAGAAGTAATTCATGAGTGCAGAGCCAGGAGTAACCCTGTGCCTCACCAGATGTGACCCAAAAAGAAAAAACAAAAGAATATTTCGGACTGGAAAAACAGTTCGGTGGGTCAGGCGTGGTCACACCCATTCCAGAGCCCTCTCCAGGCAGATTTGGGCCCAGAGCACTTCCCCCCACCCTGGGGTGCCTGATCCCCCATCCAGACTGCTGGTCCCTGGCCTCACTGTCACCAAGAGCTAATACCAGCTGGGCGAGTGGTGGCTGTGTTGAAAACCCTGTTGGGAAATGTCTGTGCCAAATCCCTCCTGTGACACCACTGGGCAGCAGAGGCTGAGAAACAGGGGTCAGGGTCTACCCCCAGCCCCCACACTCATCACCTGTGTGATGCTGGCCCACTCACCTCTCGACACATCAGACAACTTCATTGGCAGCAGGACTACCTGGATGGAGTCGGATGAGGACACGGGTGAAAAACACATGCTTCACGAGGATCAGACTGAACCAATGTGTCCGAGCAGATGCTCCCGTTTTGGAAAAACAGTCCTTGCAGCCAATGTCCCTGTGCTTCCCCGCTGCCCCCAACCCACAACCTTTCCCAAGCGTCAATGCAGGCCATTGGTTTCCACCCCCAGGGTGGCTCTCTGAGCAGGTCAGGATGGTTCTGGCTCACCCCCATCTCTGGGGGAAACCTCTTCGCCCTTCCTGCCTCTGTGACCTGTGAGGTGTTTTCAGGTGCTGAGTTTGGGAGCAGCTCCTGGGGGCATGCTGTCCTGTGTCGGTGGGTTTTTCCCATTAAAAGGAGGAGAGCCGGTTGGCAGCCTGCCTTATGAGCTGGGGGAGAAAGCGGTTGGGATAGAGACAGGATCACCAAGTCAATAATGGTTGGAGGGATCGGTCGGGATGGGAGATGTGTGCTGAAAGTAGACAAAGGACCAAAACGTGATAGCCTCTCAGTATCTGTACTGCAAACCATAGTGCCCCCAAGCAGACAGAGTTAGAAGGAAATTAGAGCCATAGAGGGAGGGGGTGGGGTCAGATGGGGGTGGCTGGAGGGATACTGGGAAAATCAGTGGTGGTAAGTGTGCACTGGTGGAGGGGCAGGTGTTCGATCATTGTATAACTGAAACTCAAACACGCAAGTTCTATAACTGTAGCTCCTGATGATTCGATCGAAAAAAAAAAGTCAACAAAAACAAAAACAGAAAAAAGAGGAGGGCCATGTGTTTGGAGATCTCTCTTTATTGCCCACACACACATCTGTTACTTGCCCGTTGACAGTTCTAAGGTCCCACCCGCTGGGATACCACCGATCCACGCCGGATTCTGGAGTCTGGCTCGGAAATGAACACAGAGGTCTCTTGGCTGAAGCGTTCACAGTCCAACGGCTAGCGCAGAACTAAAGCTTCACCGGCTGCTGTGCCTCCTTCCCGCTCTCGGGTGAGCGGCGGGGGCTCCGGAGGCTCATGGGGCTCTGGTGGCCCAGGCTAGGCCCTTTCCCAGAACCGACCGTTGCCTCAGATCCTCGACTGGAGTATCTGCATGTATTTAGAAACTGTTCATTGACTCCACATGGGATAATGTCTATGTAAACCCCAAATAGCATGTCTCTTACTGTAACACAGATACATACACCAAAGAAACAAAACAAAACAAAACAAAACAAAATTTATGTTACCTCTGAGTTGAAGTGTTTACATCATAGACAATAAAGACAATGAGTCATGAAGAGAATGGGACAACTTAGTAAAACCACAGGGTGAAAGGTAAAGATTTTACCGCTTGTGCCCTTCAAAATCCAAATATCACACAATGATGTCATATTCCAACCAACTTAGAGTCTGAAATCTTCCTCCATCCAGCCAGTATTTCCACAACGCTCTCTATTTGCTCTGAGTGCACTTACTGTTGCTACAAACTTTGCATATGTCAATAATTTAGTTTAAAAAGTCCCCCCAGAGAATATATAATGACTGCCCAGTCTCATCTTTTGTACATGATTTGCAAAAGAGAAAGAGGGGCCAGAGTGATAGTACAGTGGATAGGGCATCAGCCTTGCATGCAACCGATCCAGGTTTGATCCCCGGCATCCAATATGGTCCCCCAAGCACTGCCAGGAGGAGTATTTCCTGAGTGCAGAGCCAGGAGTAAGCCCTGAGCATTGCCGGGTGTGACCCAAAAAGAAAAAAAGAAAGAAAGAAAGAAGGAAGGAAGGAAGGAAGGAAGGAAGGAAGGAAGGAGTCTTTCTCTTTGAGAGAGAAAGAGAGAAGGAAAGAAAGAAAGAAGAGCCAGAGTGATAGTACAGTGGGTAAGGCTCTTGACCTGCGTGTGGCTAAGCCAGGTTTAATCCCCCGAACCCCATATGATTTCCCAAGCACCACTGGGAGTGATCCCTGAGCACAGGGCCAAGAGTAAGCCCTGAGTTTGACTAGGTGTGGCCCCAAAAGAAATTCAAAAAGAAAAGGATAAATGCTTTTTCCAGCACAATCAAATGCAACCAAAATTTCCAAAAAAAAAAAAAAAAAAAAAAAAAAAAAAAAAGCAAGAAATCCCCACCAAAACCCAAAGGAGTTCTGAGCATCTTTGCAATTGTCTCCTTCCCACTCAGCTGCCGCACCGCTCACCCCGCTAACAGAGCGGGAGGAGCACAGGGAGGAGGAGAGGAAGTGAGACCCTGTGGGCAGCAATTTCCTGGTGAGGGCGGAAGGCAGAGGACAGCCCAGTGAAAGGAGGAAGCGCAGCTAGAGAGTGTAGTGCCAAGTGTCCGCCACAGAAGAACTGCAAAGGAGAAAGAGGGAGCCGGTTATGGTGGCCAAGATAGAGCCAGGGGAAGGCCAGGGCTAAGACAAGCAACAGACAGTCGTGCAGGGAGCCAAGCCGGGCAGGCTGGGAGCTGCTGACCCTCTGCTTTAAAAAGGCAAAACGGGCTTCCTTCCACTGGAGCCAGTCTCCTGCGTCCCAGGAAAGGTAGGAAAGGCAGCCCCCACCCCCCACCCCCAGGCCTAGCTCCCCAGCTCTCTGCGACGGGCTACTCACTCATAGTACACATCCTCTGACTGCATGCGGCGGTAGTACTTGGCCAGCTTGACGGCAAAAATCAGAGCCGGAAGCAGCAAAAAGGTGGCTTCTCCGAGGCTGAACCAGAACAGATTCTAGAGGGAAACACAGCAGTGATGAGTCCTGACTCGAAGGCTTGAAGCAGGGAAATGGAGAGCAGCCAGGGTTTGTGGGGGGAGGCTGGGGCAGCAGGGCAGATGTCCCCGGAAATTCTTCAGGGAGTACCTTTTCATTTGTAAACATTTTCATGTGCTCTGAAACCTTCTGCAAACTCTTTCTGAGCGGAAGTGGGGCGTTGGGGGTGGAGTGTCACACCAGGTGACGCTCCGGGCTTGCTCCAGTGCCAGGCCCCTCTGGGGAGCCAGGGAGGCGGCAGGACAGGCCGGTGGGCTACGTGCGTGGTTCTTTAAGGCTGCCATGCTCAGGGCGTGGGTCTTTCTGGCTCTGCACTGCACCCGAGCAGGGGGCATGCTACGGGGCACCACCAGTGTCAGCTTCCACCAACGTCCTTCTTCCTGATGCCGCCTCTTCCACTTGGCCCATAAGCAGCAGCTGAGAGGTGGTTGGGGTGAGGGTGCTGGGCCCCAGGACACATCACTGGCCTGCGCAGTATCAGCACAACCCTGGGTGTGTGTGTGTGGGGGGGGGGGCATCCTCATACATGTTCACACCAGGACTGCTCTGGAATCTGTAACTACGGGTCTGGAGTCACGTCTGCACTGCTGGGCCACAGCTACTCTGAGGACCCTGAGCTCCCCCTGCCCAGCCCTTCCCTTTCAGGGAGGTGAGAGGTGCGCTGGGCACGTCAGTGACGGCCAGACCCTCCGGCTCGGCCTTGCCTGCGCCTGCTTTGAGTTGGGTTGCATGGGGCAGGCCTTGGCCTTTGGGCATAGACTGCCATGGCACCACAACCCTTCTCTTCCCTGGGTTCTCTTTGTTCATTGAAAAAACATTTTTTAAATTTTATTTTGAAGGTTCACAATAATTTATCACATTCAATATTCCAACACCAACCCCACTGCCATTATGCCTCACCACCATTACTTTGAATTTTCCCAACCTCCACCCAAGTCAGCCCCAATAGCAGGCCCTAAATAATTTATTGTGTAGTACTTGTTATGAATAATTCTCTAAAGATGTTCCCAAAAGATTTCCTTAGAAGAAAATTTTTTTATTTTTTAATTTAATTTTATTGAATCACCATGAGATAGTTACACACTTTCATATTTGTGCTACTATCACAGAATGATCAAGAACCCATCCCTCCACCAGTGCACATTCCCCAATATCCCCGATATATCCCCCCTTTCCCACCCTCCCCCTGCCTCCATGGCAGACATGATTCCCCATGATCTCTCTCTACTTTTGGGCATTATGATTTGCACTACAGACCCTGAGAGGTTATCATGTTTGGCCCTTTATCTACTTTCTGCACACATCTCCCATCGCGACCGATTCTTCCAGCCATCTTTTCCTTAGCGATCCCTTCTCTATTCCAGGTGCCTTCTCCCCTTTGCTCATGAGGCAGGCTTCCAGCTATGGAGCAATCTACCTGTCCCGTGTATCTACTATCCTTAGGTGTCAGCCTCATGTTATGTTGTTTTATCCTCCAAGCCTTGCGTGTTATTATTTTCTTAATTGAGATTGCATGCCTTCTACCTTGTGTCCCATCTAATGTGGTGTGCTACTCCCGGTACATCAGTGGTGTAGAGTATGAGATGAGTGGGGTGATAAAACTGGAGTTAATTTTTAACTGGAAGGCGGCTTTGAGGTGTGAGGCATCTCTGCAGCTTGTTGATCGGAAGACCGAGATTTATTTGTGTCTCCGGCTCATGGCTGGTTAATGAGCTTATCAGACACCAGAGGCAGTTTGTGGGCATGACTGCCAGGTTTGAGGAAGATTTATTCATTTCTGTGCTCCCCACCCCCGCCCTTGCTGTGGAGGCTGAGAGCTGGGTGGGACTCTATCCTTTCCAATCCTGCCTCAATCCTCAGAGGAGCAATTAAGACTCTAAAGGACTGTAGAAGGGGCAGGAGGGATGTACAGTGGGTAGGGCGTTTGCCCCGCATGAGGCCAATCAGGGTCGATTCCCAGCCTCCCACAGGGTCCCCCAAGCCTGCCAGGAATAATCCCTGAGTTCTGCTGGGTGTGGCCCCCCAACAAACACACAGACAAGCAAACAAAAACAACAGAACCGCTCGAGGGACTTGAACGCTAGAGCAGGAGGGAAGGAGGTTGCCGTGCAAGCAACAGCCACGTTCCGTCCCGGGAGAGAGGTCCCGAGCTGAGCCACTCAAGCCGGAAAAACATAAGGGCTTCATTTCTTTATTTGAACTGAAAAAATGATTCATTTGTTTGTTTGGGGGCCACTGCCAGTGGTGCTCCAGGTTTACTCCTGGCTCTGCACTCAGGAATCACCCCTCCCCTTTTAAAAAAATTTTTATTAGTGAAACACCATGAGGTACAGTTGTAGATTTACGAATTTTTGTGCTTGGGTTTTGATTATACAATGATTGAGTAGCCATCCCTCCACCAGTGCCCATTTTCCACCACCACTGATCCCAGTATCCCTCCCACCCCTATTCCCCCGCATCCCACCCTGCCTCTGTGGCAGGGCATTCCCCTTTGTTCTCTCTCTCCTTTTGGGTCCTGTGGTTGGCATTGAGTGGCAATCATGTTCTGTCTATAGTGCACTTTCAGCATGCATCTCCCATCCTGGGAGGATCCTTCCAACACCTTTATTTGGTGCTCTCAGGGATTACTCTTGGTGGACTTGGGGGACCCTATGGGGTGCTGTGGATAGAACCTCCGTTGGCCACATGCCAGGTAAGCACACCGCCCACTGTTCTAGCTCTATGGTCCTTAAACTTTTATTTTATTTTATTTTGCTTTTTGGGTCACACCTGGTGATGCTCGGGGGTTACTCCTGACTCTGTACTCAGGAATCACTCCTGGTAGTGCTCAGAGGACCATAGAAGATGCTGGGAATCGAGCCTGGGTGGGCCACGTGCAAGGCAAATGCTCTTCCCGCTGTGCTATTGCTCCGCCCCTCTGGTCCCTAAACATGTATTTATTTTATTTTATTTATTTATTTATTTTAGTTTTTTATTTTTTTGCTTTTTGGGTCACACCTGGCGATGCACAGGAGTTACTCCTGGTTCATGCACTCGGAATTACTCCTGGCGGTGCTCAGGGGACCATATGGGATGCTGGGAATCAAACCTAGGTTTGCTGAGTGCAAGGCAAACGTCCTACCTGCTGTGCTATTACTCCAGCCCCTGGTCCCTAAACTTTTAAAACAGATTTTGTAGCACCCTGCCCACTGTTCTATCTCTCTAGCCCCTAAAAAGTTAGAAAAATTTTTTTAAATAAAACATATATATGTATTTTTTTTTAAAATAACAGGAATGTCTGAGCCAGTGCAGACTTTGTCAATTCAGATGACACCAGACTAAGGTGGGACTCCCCTAAGGCAGGTCTCACCCTAACCCACCAGTGGGGGGCGCAGCGGGTTGGAGCTGAGGGAGGAGGGAGGCAGCCAGGAAGCTGGCGCTGGGGCAGTCGGGATCCTGCCCTCTTAAGGTAAGGGAGTCCAACCCCAACACGGGAGCAGTGGGTGTGTGGCGGCAGAGGCGTCCAGGAGGGCAGGGGCACATGGCTGACACCCTGCAGGCACGTCTGTGGGGGAACATGGGGATAACATGGAGGGCACATCAAGTGGTTTAGACTCCAGCGAGTATGTGTGTGTGTACGTGCATGTGCATGTATGTGCGTGTGTGTGCATGTGTGTGTATGTGCAAGTGCATGTGTATGTGTGGTCCTCCACATTGTATGTGTGGGGAGGACCACACGTACAATTCCAACCTCGAGGACCTCTCTGAATCTCTGAAGGACTAGCTCAAAGCTCTATGGTCCAACCAGGAAAACAACCAGGAAAAACAAAGACAATCCAACCAGGAAGCAGAGGAAAGAATTCCTGGGGCAGGAAACAGAATGTGTGAGTTGATCCCTGAGTCTGAAAGAGTTGGCAGTTATCAGTGAGCACTTGATGATATGATGAGGGGTGAGGAGAAGGGCTTCACAGGGAGCTGGCGAGGCTCCCCAACAGTGTGGGTGAGGAAGTGCATGCAACGATTCTGCAAAGTCCCTAAACTCAGAAAGTACAGCAGTGGACTCTGCACAGAGTTTGTCTTCCCCACCACTAGATCACAAGCTGGAGAGAGTTGGCAGGAAGAATCTACACAAGCTGGAGAGAGTTGGCAGGAAGAATCTAGCGTGGAGGCAAAGAAAAACATGGATTGGGTGTCCAGGCAGAGACCAAGGCATTTAAAACGACCTGGGGTAGGCATGGGGGAATCAAGTATTTGAGGGTTTTTTTTTTTACTTTTTAAGACATGAAAGAAAAGACGTATATTAGAGTGGGAGAATAGTCCAGCGATGGTTGTGTGGAAAGACACTCAGTCTGGGGGACTTTGGGCATTCGGTGAAGATCCTGGTCTTTATTGTGACCAGAGGGGAAGCGAGGTGCTCCTGGTGAGGGGAGGGAGGACTCCCACAGGAACCAGGTGGGGGGGGGGGGAGAACTTGATGCTTGGAGCTTACCCACCAATCACAACATCTCAAAGGCTGTTGGAACCTGTAAGTTGGTTTTCTGTCGAAGTATGACTGGAGGGTTCGTGCTACACTACACAGATGGCACATGAGAGCATGTGGAGAGATCCTACAGGCATTGTTGCTCTGAGGGCTTTAGGGTACGAACAATCGCTGCCCTGTGAACTCTCCTGGGCCATTCTCCTGGGGTCACTGGCCCCTATCCCTAAGGCCCTCCGGAAGGTACACAGCTGGGCCTGCCACCCCCGGTCTGTCATAACTTGTCCACCACACGTTGTTTCATTAGTGCATTCTCTGTGTTAGAGAGATGCGACGACTCCTTGAAATCACTGGAGCGCAAACTACAGCTTGGCTTCGGGGGTGCGGGCACGCATGCAGGGGTGGCCTCCTCTCCCTTGGCATGAGGGCCACTTACCACGGGGTCTGTGAGGTAGCGGCACAGAAAGATTTCGACGGTCGAGTCCACGGCAGTGGCCACGGGCTTGCAGGCCGCAACCTCCTCTGTGATCTGCGCGGGGACAGAAACACAGCGGACACACTCGGGGACACTCCCCAACTCCCCTAATTCCACCAGGGGACGGACACCCAGGCCTCAAGAGAGGCCGCTGGAAGCTGATTTCTAAGCCTGGCTGAGCCGAGTGGACGCTGGAAGTGAGACCCTGCTTCTCTCTGAGCCTGTTTCCAGGGTCCCGCTGTGGTTTTGCAAGAGTAAGGCCCATCCTTCCAGCCTTCCATAAAGCACTGGAGAGAGGGATGGAGGGAGAGGAGGTGGAGAAACGGGGTGGGGGAGGGGGAGGAGGGGAGAGAGGAAGGGAGGAATGAGAGAGGGAGAGGGAGAGGGAGAGAGGGAAAGGGAGCGGGGGAGAGAAGAAAAGTGGCTGCCATGGAGGTGGGGAAGGGGGGCAAAGGGAAACTGGGGCACTGGTGGTGGGAGAGGTGCACGAGTTTGGAACAGGTGTCAGAACACTGCATGACTGAAACCCGATCATGAACGACTCTGTAACTGTGCATCTCACTGTGATTCAGTTCCAAAATAATAAAAATGAAATTCAAAACAAAAAATCCCCAGAGTATTAAAGAATGAAGTACGTGTGCCCAACATGGCACCTTAGCTTGAATTTCTTGTTTTTGGGCCACATTTAGTGGTACTCAGGTAACTCTGTGCTCAGGGGACCCTGGAAAGCCGTGTGCCAGGCAAGCGCCCTGCCCGCCGGCCTCTGCTTCCGCCCTTTAGCCTGAATTTCTTGCCTCTCGCCTTTTCTTTTTCTGCTTTTGTTTTGAGGCCACAGCCAGCAGAGCTCAGAGTTTACTTCTGGCTGTGCACTCAGGGTTCACTCTTGGTGGGGCTGGGGGGTCCCTAGGGGAGATCAAACCTGGGTCAACTGCAGACCAGTCACGCCCCCTGCCTGCTGTCCCATCTCTGTCCCCCTGGTAAGGACCTGGTGCTCCCCAGGCTCAAGCTGGCTTTCTTCTCTCTCTTCTCAACTTTGCCCCTGGTTGCTTTTCTGCATCTCCCTTTTGGCTATTCCCTGGAGACATCCCTGAGGTGACCCCAGTATCACAGGCAGCTCTGTAGAAATGTCTCCTTGGCCCAAGGCTGGTAGAGCAAGCCTAGTGTCTCATCCACGGTCCCCTCAGGACTCTTGGATGAAGAAGAAGGAAGTGAGGTGAGGATGGGCGGGAGGGAAAATCCCAGAGGGGGCCCTGGAGGGCGCAGTGTGTGTGTGTGGAGTCTTGTACCTTCCTCAAGGCCCCTGAACTCTCCTACGAAGAGCTGAGGGTTTGGCTTCGCTGCTAGATTGGCTCCTGAAAGCGACTAGCTGAACCCCAACCTATAAATAGCGTGTGGATGGCAGAGATCACTCACCGATCTGTGGGCCCACTGCAGGTAGAGCTCAAAGTGCGCAATGATGGAGTTTATGTATCTCTTAATTTCCTGGAAAAGAGTGAGAGAGTGCAAAGCACCTAGGTGGTTATACCATCCTTGCACACACACACAGACACACACGCACGCACACACACACATATTCTCGTACACAAGCACACACATGCACACTCACACACATGCACACACAAGCACACACGTACACACACAGACACACACGCACCCACACACACACACATGCTCGTACACAAGCACACACATGCACACTCACACATATGCACACACACGCACTCACATGCACACACATGCACACGCGTGCACATGCACACACATGCACACGCGTGCACATGCACACACAGAGACACACACATGCACGCGGTCACGGATATCAGTCACAGTCCTCCCGTTATTCATCGATTTGCTCCAGTGGGCCCAATAACGTCTCCATTGTGACACCTGTTACTGTGTTTGGCATATCGAGTACGTCACAGGTAGCTTGCCAGGCTCTGCCGTGCGGGCGAGATACTCTCGGTAGCTTGCCGGGCTCTCCGAGAGGGGCGGAGGAATCGAACTCGGGTCGGCCATGTTGCCCGCTTGTAAGGCAAATGCCCTACCGCTGTGCTATCGTCCCAGCCCCACATGCACACACACCTACATATACATACACATACACACACATGCAGGCACGTATGCATGCACACACACACATACACGCACACACGGGTATTGACAAAGTGTTGCTGCCTTTGGCTGCACTTGCACCCAGCAGTGCTGGACCAGATTCGGGGGCTGCGTCATGGAGACACACCCCGAACCCTAGGAATCAGCATGGTTTCCTGGGGCTGGCTCCATAGCGGTGCCTAATGGGCTGCCTGGCCCAGCTCTGTGGGCCTGATGGCTTGGGGTTGACACTGCTGACACCTTGGGTCACACCGGGTGGTGCTGGGGTACGCGTGTGGTGCCAGCACTGAACATGGGGCACAGTCCCTTGAGTCCGCTCCCCACGCCCACCCCGAGGGAGTCATTCTCGGAAAGCAGACTGCTGGAGGTAGCCCAGAGGAGGGCCCTGACCTGCACGCGGCCCACCCGGCTCAGCCCCCCAAGTCCCGCCGGGAGTGATGCAGAGCCAGGAGTCAGCCTGGGAGTGGCCGAAACACTGAGAGAGAAAAGGGGGAAACAAGAGAACTTACTTTGCGGACAACGAAAGAGGCGTTGATGTTTATGAACTTCTGCGCAGACTCCAGGGCGGAGATGAGGGAGTCCACTTTCCCCTGGGAAGGCCACGGGCAGAGACTCAGACACGGCACCAGAAGCTGCGTCTGTCACAGCTCACGCCCCCTCCCTTGCTGGTCCAGGGGGTGGGAAGTGTGTGTGTGTGTGTGTGTGTTGTGTGTATGTGTGTGAGTGTGTGTATGTGTGAGTGTGTGTATGTGTGTATGTGTGTGTATGTGTGTGTGTTGTGTGTATGTGTGTGAGTGTGTGTATGTGTGTGTAAGTGTGTGTGTGTGTGTGTGTGTTTGTGTGTGTGTGTGTTGAGTGGTGCTGCCTGGCCAGCAGGGGGGCAGAGGCTGGAGATCAGGCCCACAGAGCCCGGATGCCAGCCCTCAGGGTGAGGTCGGGGCTAGCATCATCTTGTTCACCTCCCACCAGAACCGGTCACCGCAACACAGTGGCCCACCTTGCCAGGACCTGAGGCTGGTGCCACCTCTGTTCCTCTCCCCCAGTGCACCTTCTGTGCCCAGTCACGTGACTAGGGATGAGGGTCGCACTGGCCTGGAGAACTCAGAGTCCATGGCTAAGGTGCCCCCAGCTGTGGTTCCTTGAGGTCTGTGAGGAACATGATCTGCAGGTACGAAGGACACTCTGTCCTCACTCCGGGTGCCCAGGGGGAGGCCCCAGGCAGTGAAATGAGAAGTGCTCCCTGAGGGGGAGTCTCTAGGGGGGACACCTCAAGTGTGGAGAGAAGCCCCACGACCCGGGCAGGCCATGAAGGAAGTTTTCTGCCGCTGAGGGGCTGCGGTTAGAGTCGCCGGGCAGGAAGGATGGACATGGCGCATACTGGTGGTGGGCAGGCAGGCGTGGCCTGCGACCGACTGTGTCCATCGTGGTGGGAGATCCTCCCAGCCCAGCTCCCCACAGGACCAGGGATAGAAGGTCCAGGAGCGTGACCTTCATGACCACGCCTGGGCTGGGCTCTGGCCAATCCCACGTGGACAGGGTGAGGGTAAGCGCTGGTTGCCTGGGCACCTTCACATCCCTGAGGACCGAGGGGGCCCGGGCAGGTCTGGCTCCCTCAGACTAGGACACTCGGAGGCAAGAGACTTAATGAGCCAGGCTTGTGGGGGGCACCACTGAGCGGCGTGGGGACAGTGAGCTCAGAGAAAGGGCCGGGGGCAATGCCTGCGCCTGGGCATGTGGGCACAGCACCATTGGCCAGGCATCCTGCTGGGGTGGGCCAAGCATGCCTGGTGAGACAGGCATTGGCACCCGTGCTGGGAGAGAGTCACACGCCTATTCAAAATAAGCAGCGTGGGGCCGGAGCCATAGCACGGGGGTAAGGCGTTTGCCTTGCAGGCAGCTGACCGGGTTTGATTCCCCTGAACACCTCCAGGATAATTCCTGACTGCAGAGCCAGGAGTAATCCCTGAGCATCACTGGGTTGACCCAAAAAGCAAAAAAATAAAATGAAATAAAATGTCAAAATAAATAAAATAAGCAGCGGCCGAGTCTGTCATTTTATCCTGATAGCACCTTTAGAAGCCCCCAGCAGGCCCTGACAGGATAATGGGTGGGGTCCAGTGGACCCAGGTTTGATCCCTGCCGTTACATACGATGCCCGGAGTACCCCAGGAGCGATTCTTGCTGCAGAGCCAGAAGGAAGCCCCAGGCACCACCGAGTGTGGCCCTCACTGCCCCCCATCCCCCAGATGAAACCATTTAAAAGTACAAAGAACTCGGTGTCTTTTAAACACACCCCGTGTGTGTTGGAGCACTATTCACAGTGGCCGAGAGCCCAGCACGCCCTCGGTGCCACCGTCAGGCAAGCAGGCCAGGGGGTCTGGCACGCTGGCAGGCGGCTCAGAGAGGGAGACCTTGCCAGGTGCAAGGACAGGGGAGGACCCAGAGGACTAGGGCTGGTGAAGCCGCCCAGACAGGGCGGGAGGAAGTCCGCAGGCTGGATTTGGCTCACATGTGGGAGAAAGAGAAACAAAAGCGAAGGATGAACTTCAGGAAACACCAATGAAGACGTCGACCATCAGAGCAGACTGCGGTGAGCAGGAGGGAAGGGTTTGGTGGGTGCCTGAGCGAGGGGGCCTCAAACCCGTGGCTCTGGGTGGAAGGCTATGCAGCGTGGCTTACGTGAGGGTCTCTCCAGCTTTTGTTCCTTGGCACCTGGCTGTGCTCAGGGCTTCATTCTGGCTCTACACTCAGGAATTATTCGGGTGGGGCTCAGGGGACCATGACGGGTGCCAGGGATTGACCTTGGGTCGGCCATGTGCATGGCCAACACCCTCTCCACTGTACGGTCACTCAGCCCGCCTCACCTCTCTTGCACCCGTAGACCAGAGCCTCCCCCGCTGCCAGCCCCGAGGTCGGCGGCTCCAACCAAAGAGACACACAGTGGTACCCAAGCTTCCCACGCCTGTAGAACAGTGGAGTATCCCTGGGCTGAGGCCGGCGGTTCAGGACCCTGACTAGCTAGAATGAGCTATGACTTCAATACAATTATTTATAGAAAACAGCAAATCTGCAAATGGAACCCAAAACCTCAACATCTTGGAAAATCTATTTTGTTTTGTTTTTTGTTTATTTTTGTTTTTGCATAACAAGAATGGAATCATCTTACCTCCAAGTTATTGGTTGTGCCCTGCAGTTCCCGAAGGCTCTGGTCTGTACGGCGCTGGAGGACAGAGAGAGAGCAGGACCCCGCTTGGGAGAGGAAGCACCCGGGACACCCGCCGGTCTCGGGCTCCCCACCACTCCCCTGGCCTCCCGGTGGCCTGTGTCTCAGAAGCAGCTGCTCCCAGTGGAAAGAGCAGATTCCAGCCCCGGGTATGAGACACAGACAGAGAAAGGCCAGGCACGGGCCTTAGGCTGCAAAAGGCAGGACACCTTCCCCCAGGAGCTCAAGCATGCTCCTGAGTGGGGTTTGTTTGAACCGGCCACTGTGTGGGGAGGGGAGGGGAGGGCACCTTCTTCATGCGGGCACACCCAGGGCACCCCAGTGGGGGCTGGTAGGGCTGCACCCGGCCATGCATGGGAGACGGTGTGATGGTAGGAGTGGAGTGTGTGACCACTGCACTGTCTCCTGGCCCCAGGCACCACCTTTTATTACTATTATTATTTTTCTTGGGTCACACCCGGCGATGCTCAAGGGTTACTCCTGGCTCTGCACTCAGGAATCACTCCTGGCGGTGCTCGGGGGACCATATGGGATGCTGGGATTCGAACCCGGGTCAACCACGTGCAAGATGAATGCCCTACCTGCTATGCTAGCACTCTAGCCTCGGCACCGCCTTTTAAGTCAGCCCTCGGGTTGAGGTTCGGTCTGATTTGTCAGGGCAGAAGGAGGCAGCCACACCGGGTCCCAACAGCAACCCAACAGTGTCCCAAAGTGACACGACACGGATCAAGTGTAAATTAGTGGGTGCAGCTGTGTTCTGATAACTGTGTTTCTAAACACAGTCACAGGTGGAGGCAGTGGGGGTGGGAGCTACATAGGTGCTGGTTTAGACTGAGTCTAAACAACAGAACCGCTTGTTTCTGGCTCTAAAATGAACAGAGGCCTGCCGAGCTGGATCAGTCTCGAAGGAACCACAAAATCCAGTTTAAAGCACCGCCCACTTTGTGCCTGGAATAAATGAGTGCCATGAATTGTGTTGAGCACAGCAGACAAATGAAGAGAACTTAACAGGAGAACTTTGGAAGCAGAGAATGATTCAGAAAGTCAAGAGGGCCAAAGAGATTGCCCAATCGGCGGAGCACTCTTGCTGTGCCCGCAAGAGGTCCGGGTTGGATCCCAGGCACAGTCCCTCGAGCACTGTGGGGATGACTCCCAGAGCCGGGGCAGACCCAGAGCATGGCCAGGAGTGGCCCCCAAGACAGATAAAGGGGAAAATGAAGAAGGAATGTCAGGAGGGGTAGAGGGAAAGAGGGTAGAGGCTAAAACAAACCAAGGGTGGGAGCTGGAGTCAGTGAATCGTGGCCCATGTCCAAACCCCCACAAACTGCAACCTAATTCCCGCCCAGCCTCCTGCAGGGATGAGCCCCTCCCTTTCCGCAGTCGTTCTTCCTTCTCAGCCCCTTTATCTCCAGGAACCAGGAGGCCCCCAGCGCTGTGGGATGAAGAACCTGAAAAGCCAGGTCTGCCTGACGCCTCTCTTCTATGTCCTCCCGTTGGCATCGGGGCAAGAAACGGGCAGGAGAAGAAAGTCTGAAACAGGATGGGAGAGAGGAGAGTGCAATGCTGCCCATCGAGGACACGGGTGCCCCTCCAAGGGGCAGGATCATGGAATGACGGCCCGAGAGATGGCACCGTGGGGGTCACTGGCCCTGCATGTAGGCTCCATTCCTGACACCCCATCTGGTCCCCAAACCATGCCAGGAGTGATTGCTGAGCTCAGAGCACAGAGCTGAGCCTGGACACCACTGGGTGTGGCCCCCAAATCAAAACTGGAGGGGAAAAAATGAAAAAGAACCAGGATAATAAGAGAGAAAGAAAGAGGAATTCTGGAGAGAGGCATCAGCCCTGGAGCTGAGTGCAGGGCACGGGGGCCGCAGGGGAGGAGACCACCCAGACGGCCCCTCACTGCTGATGCTTGAGGGGGCCGAGCGGGGGACAGCAGCAGAGAAGGGGCGGGGGGGGGGGAAGCACGGAGCGTCCTCTGCCCGAGAGCCCGAGTCTGTCTCGGCAGCGTGGGGCGCAGGGCCCTGGGGGAGTGCGGAGCAGCGCCGTACCGAAGCTTGCTGCTGTGGGACCAGAACCTCCCGGTGGATGCGCCGGACCTCCTGGACTTCCCTCAGCAGCGTCTCCCGCATGGCCTCCTGGGGCTCGAGGGTGGAAAGAGACACAGGTCAGCGGCCTGCCCAGCCCTGCCCAGCCCCTCTCTGGGCTCGCTTCCCCATGCACGGGTGGAGGTGGCCCCTGGAGGGCTAGTGCCCAGACACCCCATCCCAAGGGACACTCCACTTCAGGATGCAGAACCAACGCTTTCAGCAGTGATCCGGGCTCACCACCCCTTCCTGCTCCACCCAGGACAGGGGTCCCCATCTGACGGAGCAGGACCCCAGGGGCCATGTTGAGAGTGTGGACGTGGCCCCACTTTGCTGCTCAGGAGACCAGCGGCCGCCACAGTGCGGCTGAGTTGGGGTACAGCTTCCCCCGCCCCTCAGGCCTCCTTTCCAGATCCTGCAGCTTCTCGGCAGGGAGCCTGGTGAGGGCCCCGGAGCTGCTGGCAGGCAGGGGAGGTGAGGGGGGAGCCGGGCGGCCTGGCAGGTGTCGCTGCCTTCCCCTATCCCCCGGGACGGTAAAGCCAGGCAGCAGGTGGGCTCTCCCTCCCGGGCCCTGGAAACTGCAAGGGAAGTGTCTGCGTGTGCGCGTGTGTATTGTGTGTGCATGTATGCGTGTGTGTGCACAGGCAAGTGTGTGCCTGTGCATGTGTGTGCAAGTATATGTGAGTGCACACGTGTGTGTGCAGACAAGTGTGTGCGTGGGTGTGTGGGTGCATGTGGTGCTGGATGAGCCGAGGAGGCTAAATGGTCCCAGGTGAAGCCATGAGGCCTCCAGAGCCCAGAACACCCTCGGGCTGGGGTGCAGGGGCTGGGGGGAGTTCAGGAATCACCAGGGGCTTGGGGTGCCTGGAAGCACGTCAGTGGCCACCTCCCTGTACCCAGGGTCTAGGACGATCATTTCCCTCCACTCTATGGACTCACGAAATTGTTGATTTCTGTTTCCACTTTGGCTGCAAATAACAGAAGATTCCCTCTGGTGGGAGATTTATTTATCTACAAGAGAAGCAAAAACATCAAGGACCTGTCATAGCCACGGCACTCCTGGCCCTGAGAGAGCCGCCACGCGAGCCTGCAGACGAGGTGCCTGTGGGAGCCCAGAGCAGCAGCCCAGAGATAGCCCACCAGAAAGGAGACAGGGTGCTGATGCTGTGATAATGTCCCAGCGTGACGTTTCTAAGAAACACTGGGCTTCAAGGAAGGGGCCAGGCCGGGCCAGTGGACGCCAAAGGTCAGGAACTTTCGGGACAGATGCCTCATGGACACAGCGGAGTTGGGCTGGCGGGGGGGGGGGGTTGAGGCGGGGGCCAAGGCGCCCCTCAACGGAAGGAGGGGAGCACGGGAGCAGGCGAAGAGTGCGGCGGGGTCTTGGCACCGCGGAAGGCGGCAGAGATGGCAACCGCGGCACGTGGCGATGCTGCCCGTGAGGAAATGGCCCGCTTGGGAATAATGGACAGTATGTGAAACACATCACAGTGAAACAAAACACAAATACAGCAACAACTGGGGGAGAAAAGAAACCCACATGTCCAGCATTCCAGCAGGCCAGGGCATACCTCAGCTAAGAAAACGCCGTAATCGATGTCCTGGACTCCGATGGCACTGAAGTCCCTCAGGCCTTGTACCCCACTGTCGTCCAGCAGGACGACTTTGCTCAGGTTGATTTTCAGGTACTCAAACTCTTGGCTTATCGGGCCAGTCACCTGCAGGACAGAAAGGCCGGCCATGGAGAAGGGCACTCGCCCTCTGAGCGCCTCGTGCGGCAGCCCCAGGGGCTCTGCTCGCCCGCTTCCCTGCCTCCCTCTAAGCCTCCCCATGATGACGATGACGTGGAGACCTGGGGGCGAGGGGAGACAGAGGCACAGCAGCTCCATGCTCGGGGCTGGAGGGATGAGGCTGACACCCAGATACAGTCGCAGGGACTGCCAGGGGGCCAGGCGCGGTGGGCAGAGGCCTTTGAGGCAGGGCCGTAGGCGGGCAACTGGGAGGATGTGGCTCTAGGCAGGGGCAGAGATGGGCCTGGCGCTGACCCCTGAGGAAGGAGGCGGGACTCTGGACTTGGAGGGGAGCAAGGCATGAGGTCGTGGCACTAGGGGGAGGGGCAGTGTTATTAGCTGCAGATGGGATGGCTCATGGAGCGGAAGAAGGTGTCTACCTTTTTTTTTCCTTTTTGGGTCAGACCCAGCGATGCTCAGGGGGTCGTGCCTGGCTCTACACTTGGGAATGACTCCTGGAGGTGCTCAGGGGACCCTATGAGATGCGGGGGACTGAACTCCGGTCGGCTGCATGCCAGGCAAACGGCCTGCCCGCTGTACTATTGCTCTGGCCCCGAAGGCATCTACTTTTGTGGTTGTTTATTTTTCTGGTCACACCGAGAAGTGCTCAGGGCTTCCTCTTAGTTCTGCTCTCAGGGATCACTCTTGGAAGGCTTGGGGGAGCCTCTGGGGTGCCAGGGCAGGAACCCAGGCCGACAGCATGCAAGGCAAATGCCCTGCCTCCATCATCCCCTGTTTCTATGGCACATGGTGGTGCCCCAGGAAGGAGGGGCAGGGCAGGAGGAAAGGGGAGAAGAGGTGGCACCAGGACTTGGAGGTGGGCCACGGAGAGGCTGTGAGCCTAGGAGGGGGTAAAGAAGTCCCCCCAAAACGGTTCTGAGGGGCTGGGGTGATAGCACAGCAGGCAGGGCGTTTGCCTTGCGTGCGGCCGACTTGGGTTCGATTCCCAGCATTCCATATGGTCTCCAGAGCACGGTCAGGAGTAATTCCTGAGTGCAGAGCCAGAAGGACCCCTGAGCATCGCTGGGTGTGACCCCAAAAGCAAACAAAGCAAAACAAAACAAAACAAAAAAATGGTTCTGAAAGCCAAGAGGAAATCCAAGGAAGTCTCTACTGCTCCCAAGTTAGTTTTTATTTGTGCAGAGGTGCTAGGAGCATTCAGGCCGGGAAGAATGGCCAGCAGGGAATTTGTCCATGGCTCTCAGGTCCTCCTCTTCCCATCTGAGCAACTGCGTGACCCCGGGAGCCCCTGGAAGGCCGTCGCTGGGTCTTTGTGGGCAAGCTGGGGGCTGGCGGGGTGGGGGGGGGGGGGTGTAGCTACCCTCTGTGTCCCTGGGTGGGTGTCTCCATGGAGGAAGATCTCAGAGAGAGAATGCCTGTGACCCTCCCCTGCTGGGCCTGCGGGAGCGGGAGGGGGCGGGGGAAAGGGGTGCGGGGCACCTCTGACCACACAGAACACCTGGCTGGGGCCTGGCCACTACCCTTCGGGACAAATGAAGACCTGGGACACAGAGCGGGTTGTCACCCGCCTTTCGAAGGGGTCCTCCGTGAGAGGGGATGCAGTCCCGGAGCGCCAGTCTCCTGGGATAGCAGCGGGCTGAGTCCCTCCAGGAGCTTGGATCCTCGGGGGGACCATGGGAGTCCTTTCCGGTGAGTCCATCCTCCCCCACAAAGGCTCGAGGGTCTGTGTGAGGGTCTCGGGGGAGACATGGCCGCAGTGATCAACAGGTTGGTTTCTTGGGGGGGGTGCACTCCTGGCTCAGTGCTCAGGGATCACTCCTGGAGGTGCTCAGGGGGCCCTGGGAAGTGGCCAGGGTTGAAGCACGGTCACCCCTATGGGGCTCTCTCTGTGCTGTCTCTCTGGTGCTAGGGCAGTCCTGACGACCACCCGATGACCACACACCCTGTAGCAGTACTAGGTGTCACTGTAAAATGGTCCCTGGGGACTAGAGAGATGCAAGCAGGAAAAACTCTCGCCTTGCACACAGCTGACCCCGGGTTCCACCCCCGGCACCCTTCATGGCCCCCCGAACCTCACCAGGTGTGGTCCCTGAGCACAGAGCCAGGAGCAACCCCTGAGCAATGCCGGGGGGGTGTTGGGTGGGGCTGGGGTGTGGGGGGGGAGGTGCGGGGGAAAGGCCAGCGAGAAGCACGTCCGCCGTGGGGTGGCCCGTGACACACCTTTTCGATGTTGAACATGTCACTGATGTTGTACTTGTGCTCTAGCTTCAGCGTCGCATACGCCCCTCTATTCTCCTTGCAGTGCCTGCGGGGGAGCAGAGAGTAAGACCTGGTGGGCCCGTGGTCGCCTCTCCACTACCAGGGGACTGAGGCGGGGAGGTGGCTCTCCGACCCCGGCGTCCCCGTGGAGCTACTTGCTGGCTCAGGGCTCCTTGATTCAGGAGGTTCCCGACTACCCTCAGCCTCCAGTGCGGGGGCTCAAACCCAGGACCTCACCCATGCAAGGCCAGAGATCTATCGGGGAGCTACCCCCCAGCACACGCCTCTGGCATTTTCAAGACTTTCACGGGCAGCAGCGGCGCCCAGACCGACGACTCGAGGACGTCAATGTGAAGGAAACTGGAACCTGCCAAGGGCCACCCGGCCACCCCTGCTCCCTGCCAAGCATGGTCTGGGATGGAGCAGCCTCCCCCGAAGTCCTCCTGGTCTCTAGACAGGAAGCTGGGGCCACCCGGTTCCGAGGGGGCAGGGCTGCTGTTTAGATCCTGGAGAGCAACTCGGTTCACACGGGAAACCCTCTGAGGCACGGGATGCATTGAAAGCAAAATCCTCATTCTGAAAAGCTGTTGTAAGCAACAACCCCTCTGCCACGGTCCACTTCTTCGTACTTGTAAGTCTCTTCAAAAGTGAGAGGCACTTCCCAATCATCCAGTATCAGTCCCGAGAGATAGTACTTCCAGTGCTCGTTGAGCAGGTACGGCGTGTCCAGAACCTGAGACAAGAGAGGAAACAGCCGTTTTGCACTAATGCAGACGTAGAGTAGAACGAATATTCTGACACAGAAGTCTTGGGGCTTTTTAATATCATGATGATTTTGCATAATAGTGCGGTGGTTGGGAAAAAAGCAATTGACTGCTGAGTAGGACCAATGGGAATGACTGAAATTGCTTTTTTTAAAATTTTTGAGAACACTTTGTTTTAGTAGAAAAACACATCAGAAGTGGGACGGGGGGGGGGGGTAGAGAGAGAGAGAAACAGAGGTTGTTTGATTCAGAACAGCTAATGGGAAGGCAGGGGGCTTAACGGCCTCGCCTTTCACTGTCTTCTCTAGACAAAATGAACTCAAACCTGTTCTGTCTCTGCCCATGCACAGCACACAGTATAGATTTAGGGTGGGATAATTCGCCAGCTTCATAGCAGGGGACATGCGTGTCATCTGGAACAGCCCTTATTTACCTATTAAAACTGGTACGCGGGGCTGGAGAGATAGCACAGCGGGTAGGGCGTTTGCCTTGCATGCGGCCGACCCAGGTTCGATTCCCAGCATCCCATATGGTCCCCTGAGCACCACCAGGAGTAACTCCTGAGTGCAGAGCCAGGAGGAACCCCTGTGCATCGCCAGGTGTGACCCAAAAAGCAAAATAAATAAATAAATAAAACTGGTACGAGGATTGTGGGCCACCTCTTGTGGTACTCAGAGGCTACTCCTGGATCAGTGCTCCTAGGGAGGATGGGGAACAAACCCAGCGCCCCCACCCCACCCCATCAAGGGACTGACGGATGATTTCTCACTAAGAAGCCCAATGGAGATGATCTGATGAATGAATGTTTCTAATGCACGCCACCGATGAATAGTGAAGAGGCCGTGGAGAGGCCGAGGACACGGCCCAAAGGGCCAGAGCATGGGATTTCTGGGCAGCCCAGCTTTGAGCCCCAGACCCAAGAGCACCCTCCCCGAGCACTGGAACAGGAGTAGTCCCTGAGCTACCACCATGTTGGACCGCCCAAAACAAAAGCCCAATAGGAACAAAACACCGTGACCTGGCCGGAGATGCAGCTCAAGAGGCGAATTGCTTGCTTTGTCAGGCTTTGGGTTCTGTCCCCAGCACTTTAAAAACAAATAACGAAAGGACCGGAGAGGGGCTAAGGTACTTGTCTTGCACAAGGCTAGCCAGGGTTTCTTTTTTCTTTTTTAAATAAGTCAAATTTAATTTTTATAAAGTTGCTCACAATAATTTATTTCATCCAATATTCCGACACCAATCCCACCACCATTATTTCCAATTTTCCCAACCTTCCATCCAAGTCTGCCCCAATAGCAGGCCATCGATAATTGATTTTATATTGCTTGTTATGGATAATTTGCTAAAAAAAGATTGAAAAAGATTTCCTTAGGAGAAAGCATGTGAAGATTGTTGTAACTCACCATGGACCCATCGAGCCCTGTAGAAGAGATTACTGACACATTGTTCTAGGTTAAGCCTTGTGTGTTAAAATTTTCTTAATTGAGGCTTTTGCTTTACACCCCATCCAACATGGTGTGCTAATCCTAGAATATCAGTGGCGTAGAGCTTGGGCTCCAGGAATTCTAAACTACTGAAGGGATGATAGCACTGGAGTTCAGTTTCTAACTGGATCGTGACTTTGGCAGCCCTGGCTCCAGCGCCAGCACTGAATGTGGTCCCGAAGTACCCTGGGAGTGATTCCTGAGCAGAGCAGAGCAAACCCTGAGCATCGCTGGGTGTGGCCCAAGAACCAAAGCGACGCAAAACCAAATCAAACAAGCGAAACTCTCACCGTGAACACTCATCTGATGTCAAAACTAGGAAAAGATAGAAAAAGTACAGATGAGAAAACACTTAAAATCAGGAGAGAGCGCAGGGCAGAGAACAGACTGAGTCAGAATAGCCGACCAGTGGGTCTGCCCAGGGCTTCCACAATTTTCCACTCGAAAACCCCTTTCACCCGATCAAGTTTTACAGGGCCTCTCATATGTAAAATAGGCATATAAATCAAACATTTACTCATAATTAACCATACTTTTTTTCCCCTTTGTTGGGTCACACCCGGCGATGCTCAGGGGCTACTCCTGGCTCCTCACTCAGGAATTACTCCTGGCGGTGCTGGGGGGACCATATGGGATGCTGGGAATCAAACCCGGGTCAGCCGCATGTAAGGCAAATGCCCTACCCGCTAACCACACTTTATTTTAAAGCAATTATTTTATTTTTAGAATAAATTAGAAAAATAAATGTATTCAAAATTATTTAAATAACTTGAAATACATTTATTTTGAATCAGTTTTTCTGCAACCCTCCTTCAGTTCTAGGACCCCACGTAGGGTGACCTCTGTCGGGTTGTACAGGGCCCATTGTTGTTGATTTTCGGGGGAAAAGCAAAGCTTGAATCCAATTCCTAACTGCTTCATCCAATTTCCAGGGGGCACAGGCCTCAGCCGTTGAGGCCTGTGATTTATCCATTTCTTTCTTATTTATTTTAACATTTTGGTCACATCTGGTGGTGCTCAGGGCTCACTCCTGGCTCTGTACTCAGGAATCACTCCTAGCAGGGTCTTGGGGACCATATGGGATGCTGGGGACCGAACCCGGATTGGCCACGTGCAAGGCAAGTGTCCTACCCAAAGTCCAATCACTTCAGCCCTAATTTCTTTAGCACGCAGGGCCTCATTTGTCTGGGTGCCACTGCCACCTGGGAAAGTCTTGAAAACGCCAGAGGCTTGTGCTTGGGTGTAGCTCAGCGGTCGAGCTTCTGATCTTATGTGGGTGAGATTCTGGGTTCGAGCCCTTACACTGGAGGTTGAGGGTAGTAAGGAACCTCCTGAACAAAGAAGGAACCCAGGAATCAAAATCAAGTCCCTGATGTCTGAGGCACATCTGGAACTACTGCTGAGATCTATTTTTTTCCTTTTTTTTAAATTATTTACTTGGCTTTTGGGGTCACAGCCAGTGATGTTCAGGGATTACTCCTGGCTCTGCACTCTGGAATTACTCCTGGCAGTGCTTGGGGGACCATATGGGATGTCAGGGATTGAACTCGGGTCGGCTGTGTGCAAGGCAAATGCCCTACCCTGTACTAATGCTGTACTGTTGCTTCGGCCCTGAGATTTTTTGTTGTTGTTGTTGCTGTTGCTGTTTTTTGGGGGAATTAGGGGGAGCACTGCCAGTGGTGCTCAGGACTTATCTCTTGGAGGCGCTCTGGGGACCAAATGCGATGCAGAGGATCAAGTCGGGGAGCAAATCGGGGTGGGCCGCATGGAGAGCAAGCCTGCCTTCACCCCTGTACCATCTCTCCCACCCCTACTGTGGAGGATTTCATTAACCCCATGTAGTATGATCTGCCTCCAGGGCTGACCCCGAGTCCCGGATTTTACTAATGCTCCCATGGCTAGAATCCCACTGTCCATCTCTCAACCTGGCAAAGAGGAGTGTCGAGACATGGTGAATGAAACCCAACCTACTCATCCTTTCTGCTTTTTCAATTAATTAATTAATTAATTAATTTTCCCAGTGAAACAAGGTACATTTTACTGAATAAAATTTGCTTAGAGAGACATGAGAGGAGAGGGAGGGGAAAAGGCGCTTCCGAGAGAACACAGGCTTCTCCCAAATGGGAAGAAGCAAGCAAAGAGGCAAGTGAAGGGGAGAGACACATTCCAGAAGAGCCTACGTGAGGCTCGAGAGAGACACCCCGCCCCGCTCTGGTGGTGGGGGGGGGACAGGCCGGCTTCCAGCTCAGCCGCTTCCTAGTGGGCTCGAGAGGAAGTCCCACTTACCTGGAACAGCTTCCGGTTCTGGTAAGGCTCACAGACCAGTTTCTGCACATTGCCACCGAGGATGAAAGTGAGCAGCACAAAGACCATCATTATCCAGCAGACGAGGAAACTGAGTCCGACCCCGCTGGGGAGAGGAAAGCAGGTTAAGAATGATTCACCCGGGGCCGGAGCGATAACACAGCAGGTAGGGCGTTTGCCTTGCACGCGGCCGACCCCTTTCGATCCTTGGCATCCCATATGGTCCCCCAAGCACCGCCAGGAGTAACCCCTGAGCATCGCTGGGTGTGACCCAAAAAGAAAAAAAAAAGATTCATCCTACATCTGAGCATGACTGATGCTTCTTGCTGTGGCCAGACCTGCTGTTTTGGGCTCTGGGAGGGCTGAGGGGGCTGGCGGTCCTGGAGCGGGGACAGAGGGGAGGAAGCTCTGAGCTCTTTCATCCGGGACCCCTGCCTAGGGACCCATGTGATGTGGTGCCTGATCTTGCAGCCCAGACACGGCTGCAGGCTGTCTGGGAATCCACTTAGGGCACAGAGCACATGAGGCCCCGAGGCAGGAGGGTGCCCTGGGCGTGAGAGGGGCCAAGCTGGCTTGGCTACAGGAGGGGCCGACAGCAGCGTGAACGGCAGTTGGAGAAACCCCCAAAGCACTTCGGGGACCCAGAAGAGGGAGTCCTTGAGGACAGGTAGAACATACCCAGTTTCCCTGGGAAGAACACTCTGTTCGCTTTGGAGACGCACCCAGAAGTGCCCCAGGCTTATTCTTGGTGCTGAGGGTCCATGAGATGCACAGCAGGGACCCTCCCCCCAGCTTCTCCAAGCCCAATAAACACACCTAACCATTTTTATTTCGGGGAGCACAACTGTCAGCACTCAGCCTCCTGACAGGCATCCGAGGTGACTCGGAGCCCACCTCACACAGTGCTCGGTTGATCTGAGGGGACCCACTGAGAAGGCAGGGGTCGGTGCCAGGCCCCCGATGCTCGGGGAGGGCAGAGAAGACAAGTGCGTGGCCGGCCGCCCACGAGCCTGCAGCAGACACGGCGGGAACCTGGCCAGCTACGGGCCCGAGGACCTGGGAGGACAGCTGAGCCTCAAGGGGCTGGACAAGCATTGGCACTGCCTACTGTCCCGAGGGCGGGCGCCCTCCAGAAGGGCCAGCGGACAGAAGAGCCCCTTCTTGGAGATGGAGAGGACATGGTGGCTGGGAGAAGCAGAGGACGGGAGGGGGCTGGTGGGCCGGGGAGGAAGGGAGCTAGGCAGGAAAGCCAACACCGACCTTCCCTTGAGACAGCTGCACAGGGAGAGGGGAGAGGGCACTCGTGATGGTGAAGTGGGACGGGCAGAGGGATGGACGGGTGAGTGGGTGAGTTTCTTGCTTTTGTCTGTAATTTATTTTTCGGGGAAGAGGCACCCCTGGTGGTGCTCAGGCCTTACTTCTGGCTCTGTGCTCAGGGATTACACCTGGTGGGGCTTGGGGGTGGGGGGGTGTGGGGTGCCAGGCATAGAACCTGGGTATGCCGTGTGCAAGGCCAGTGCCCTACCTTCTGTGCCCTCGCCCCAGCCTTTACAATTAAAAATGTTATATTATATTTATATTAAAAACATTATAACCTTTATAATGGGCTGGAGCAATAGCACAGCGGGTAGGGCGTTTGCCTTGTGCGTAGCTGGCCCGGCCAAGAAGGGTTCGATTCCTCCGTCCCTCTCGGAGAGCCCGGCAAGCTACCGAGAGTATCTTGCCCGCGCAGAAAAGCCTGGCAAACACAGTAACAAGTCTCACAACGTTACTGGGCCCACTCAAGCAAATCGATGAACAATGGGAGGATAGTGACAGTGAACCTTTATAATGTTTTTCAGAAAGGTCTCCTCAGAAGAGCTTGGGCAGGAGGCCACTTCCGTCACATTCAGCCTCATGATAGGGTGAGTCTTGTGGCTCAATGCTGGGGCCACTGGGGCTGTAACTGTTGTTGACTGAACTCACGGCCTCGAGCGGGCAAGGCACCTATTCTGTCCCCTGAGCTTACTTCCTCTGGGCCTTGCTCTTTGCTTTTCAAGAGGAGGAGGACACAACCTTTTTTTTTTTCTTTCTTTTTGGGTCACACCCAGAGATGCTCAGGGGTTCCTCCTGGCTCAGGCACTCAGGAATTACTCCTGGTGGGGCTCGGGGGACCATATGGGATGCTGGGAATCGTGCCCGGTCGGCCACGGGCAAGGTAAACGCCCTCGCCATTGTGCTATAGTAGAGCTCCAGCCCCAGAACAGAATATATTTAAGTGTTAGGGAAGTATCTGGGAGGGGGAGAGGGAGAAGGCGCAAAAAGGAAAAAGGATGGCCCTTGTCTCCAGGGACAGCGAGGGACAGGCCTGAGAATGCCTGAGAACCGTGGTGAGAGGGGCAGGGGGAGGACCCTCTGCCGCCTGGCTTTTGTTGGGTGGCAGCTGGGGTGTTCTTGGGGAAGACAGAGTCATCTGCTAAGACCAGGAAAATAAGGATCACGGGTGCACAGGGATAGAGCAGACACTGTAGAGGACAGGGAAGGGGAAGGAGGGAAGGAAGGGACAAGTGGGGAAGGGAGGGACGGACGGACGGAGGGAAGACTCTCCCCAAATAAATAGAACAAATTTAAATAAAACAGATAAAGGCCCGAAGGTTTAAGGGCAAGGGTTTGGAATCGTAACTTGGAAGAAGTCTGAGCTACTTTGATGCACTGCCCGAGTGTTTCAAAACTCTGTTTTTGGGCCAGAGCGATAATCTAGCGGGGAAGGCACTTGCCGAGCACACGGCCGATGCACGTTCAACCCCTGGCACCCCCTATGGCCCCTCCTAGTCCCACCAGGAGTGATCCCTGAGCACAGAGCTAGGAGTAAGCCCCGGGCAGCAGTTGGTGTGGCCCCCAAACAAAAACACAGTCAAAAAATTCTAAGCAAGTGAATTATGTGAGTGGCTCTCTGGTCCTCCCAGCGGGGTGCTGGTGACAGAGGGGACATGAATGGATGCAGCAGAGATATGAATCTCCAGCTGCCCCATGGGCTCATCCCAGCTCTCTGCCATCCCCTGGTGCCCGTCACAGTTCTTACTACCGAACTGATGAGTTTCTCAACCAAAGAGTCTCAGTTTGGAGTCGACAAATCTTCCTCTCTCCACCCTGCATCTAGTTTACGTCCCCCCACCCCTTCTGGTTACACCCACCCCTCTCTTTGTCACACTCTGGTAGAATAAGGACTTTTGCGCAGATGGGAACTCAAATATAAAAGTCTCTGGGGTAGGTAGGGACAATTGTTCTGGTCTACCGCAGGCTGGTCACTCCTTGAGAACTCAAAGCTGTTCCTATAACTAATAAGAGTTCCTTGTCTAAATTCCAGGTGTGTAGACCTGGAAATCATCACTGTCATCACTGTCATCCCATTGATCATCGAATTACTCGAGTGGGCGCCAATCACGTCTCTATTCCTCCCAGCCCTGAGATTTTAGCAGCCTCATCTTACTAGTCTTTTTTCAACAATTGGAGGCCTTTTCAGGGTTAGGGGGATGAGACCTGTTGTCATTACTGTATTTATTTGGCATACTGAGTACGCCACGGGGAGCTTGCTAGGCTCTGCTGTGTGGACGGGATACTCTCGGTAGCTTACCAGCTCTCCAAGAGGCAAACATGCCTCTCGGAGAGAGCTGGAAATAACTGCTCTGAATCAAGTTTTAGCATTTCAAGCTAAAACTGTAGACAAAGTTGATCACATAGAACAGTATCTGATACTGGATCAGTCCTCAACACTTATCTGGTGAATGAATAGACGGGTGGGGTGATGAACGGATGGATAATAGATGGACTATGGATGATGAATGGGTGTTGGATGAATGGGTAGATAGATGGGCAGTAATGGTTGAGGATGGATGGGTAGAGGGATGGATAAACAGATGGATGGAAGGAAAACGCAATGCATACCAATGCATTTCAAAGCAAAGAGAAGTAATTTTTATAACTGCGTAGTAGAGGAGCTCATATATAAGTAGTGCATTCATGCTTGTCATCAAAGTATAAGTTATTCAGAGTCTTCTTTGACTTTTCACAATCGATGGAATTTCCCAACTTAACAAAAGCACGATGGGTCCAAGTCTTCCCTTCCCCGGGAACACAGAGCACTTGGCCCCAAGGCCCCTGAGTCTGGGCAATGCCACTACCACCTGCCTTTCTCCCTCCAGCCCCCACCTCCGCGTGGCCGTAGGAGCAAACACTCACATCATGAGGAAGATGCCGCCAGTGTTTGAGAACAAGCCTCGGGTGGTTGGGGTGGCTCTCTTGTCGTAGCCAACTGTGCCACACAGCAAGCCCAGGAAATAGAAAGTCACAATCAGGGTCAGCAAAAAGCAGAGAACCAGGGTGACGATCCACCTAGAGGTGAAGAACGCACAGAATAGGTTAGGGTGCTCGTGCACATACGGGGAGGGTGTCAGCATCACATAAAACTGTCCAGACCAGGGCTGAACAACGGGGGTAGAGCTGGCAGTCGAGCGGCAGGTTCTCCAGGTGGTTGTTCAGAGGCAGATGCTGTTACTGGAAGAACTCTTCCCCCTCCCGGTCCTCCCACCCCTCCAACATTTCAGTCTTGGCTTGGCCCTGCTCTCAGTCAGCCGTCAGGGACTTGCTGCTGTCCTCTGCTTCCAAAGAGGGTTTCCCCAATTTCCCGAAGGCTCTCGAGAGACTCCTTAAGACTTAGAAGGGCTCTCACGGCTGCTGGTTTTGGAAGTGCTTAGGAGAAAGATGGCGAGATGCCCAGAGAGCAGCACTAGACAAGAGATGAAGACGTAACGAGCTCTTCTCCCTGGTCTTCCTCTAAAGCATCACTGCAGGACCATTGTGGGGATGGGGCCTGGGTTCCTTAGTGAGGCAGAAACTCACAACATGTTGTATGTTTGTTGGATAAGTTAGAAGTTTGTGAGCATCTGAAATCCGATGCCTGCAGGAGGCAAACATTTATTTTGTAATAACTCTTGAGACACCTTAGTATAGTGAGTCCTCCCTCAGTATTTTTTCACTGGCCTTCCTGAGAATGCACAACTATTTCCAACAGTGGAGGAACATTCAAGGGAAGAGATTCTTCCCAAACTTTAAACACTAATAGACATAAAACACATATCCATATATATTTATATATATAGAGAGAAAATGCTAATATACATGAGGTATTATATATATGGATTTTGCCTCTGTGACAAAAATGGCCATTTTAGTGCACTTCAGGGCAATCTTTTTTTTTATAACAGCCTCCCATCCACACTGGGCATGTTTTGTGGCAGACATGGGGAAAGCAAGATGGAATCCACGGGGAGCCTGGGCAGGAGATCCGTTTCAATTAAAGCTGGCTTTCCCCATTTCTTTTTGTTTGTTTTTCTGTTTTTTGTTTGTTTGTTTGTTTTTTGGCTTTTTGGGTCATACCTGGTGATATACAGGGGTTACTCCTGGCTCTGCACTCAGGAATTACCCCTGGCGGTGCTCAGGGGACCATATGGAATGCTGGGAATCGAAGCCGGGTTGACCTGGGTCAGCAGTGTGCAAGGCAAACGCCCTACCTGCTGTGCTATCACTCCAGCCCCATGGCTTCCCCATTTCTCTTCAGCCAGCTTAGCATCTCCGGGTAGGGGGTGGTGGAAGGATGAAGGTGTTTGTCCTTTCCCTTCTGAAACTCTGGCCTGAGGAGGCTGGAAGTTCACTGAGAAAGGGGCCAAGGGGTGTCTGTTGGGCAGCCTGCTGGCAGGCAGGCTGAACCCACGCTAAGAAAGGGCTGCTAGGGTCTCACATGCTGGGGGAAAAGGCAGCTGAGATAGAGAAGGGACCACCAAGTAAAGGATGCTTCGAGGGCTCACTCGGGATGGGAGATGTGTGCTGAAAGTAGACTATAGACTGAACATGATGACCACTTAATACTTGTATGGCAAACCATAACACCCAAAAGGAGGGGGGGGGCTGGTGGGAGGGCTACTGGGAACATTGTTGGTGGAGAATGGGCACTGGTGGAGGGATGGGTACTCGATCGTTGTATGACTGAAATGTTAGCTTGAAAGTTTGTAAGTCTGTAACTGCACCTCATAGTGATTCATTAAAAAGTTAAAATACATACATACATACATACATACATCCATACATACATACAGGGCTGCTAGAAAATGTTGGTAATCTCTTATACAAGGGCTTAATGGCTCCAGGATGAGACACAACATTCTTCACATACTTTCTCTAAGGAAACATTTTTTCAACTTCTTTTTAAATTTTTTATTTTATTTTAAATTAAGTAACCATGAGATACAGTTACAAAGCTTTCATTATTGAGTTTCAGTCATACGATGATCGAACACCCATCCCTCCACCAGTGCACATTTTCCATCACCCATGTCCCAGTATCCCTCCCCCATCCCACTCCACCCCCTGTCTTCACGGCAGGCACTTTCCCCCTTACGCTCTCTCTACTTCTGAGCACCATGGTTTGCAACACAGATACTGAGAGGTCATCATGTTTGGTTCTAAGGAAACTCTTTTGGATTGTTTTTAGCAGATTATTCACAACAAGCAAGACATGATGACTTATGTCCTATGTGCTTTGGGGGCGGGTTTGGGTGGTGGTGGGAACATTTGAAATAACGGTGGTGGGAAGGTGTAATGATATTAGGATTGGTGTTGGAATATTGAATGTAATAAATTATTGTGAATAACTTAAAAAATTTATTTAAAAAAGAAAGATAAAGGGCTGCTACGTTCAGTGAGAGCACCGCCAGATGAGCCCTCAAACCCCACCTCTCCCACCTCTACTCTCCAGAACTGAAGTTGCTTTTTCTGGTGCCTCAGTTTCTTCCAGTGTGATACAAGGGTTGGTTGTTTTGTTTGTTTGTTTTGTTTTTGCTCTTAGGGTCACATCCGGCGATGTACAGGGGTTACTCCTGGCTCTGCACTCAGGAATTACTCCTGGTGGTGCTCAGGGGACCATATGGGATGCTGGGAATCGAACCAGGGTCAGCTGTGTGCAAGGCAAATGCTCTACCCGCTGTGCTCCAGCCCATAAGGGTTTTTTTTTATGGATGCCCATTGAGATCCCTAAATGCCACTAAGGAGTGAAGTTTTAGAGTCACTTTTCTCGTGCCCTTGCAATATAAGTGATTTATTAGGAATGAAAGTCTCTGGGGCACACATTGGTTTGGGCAGTGAGGAGGGTACCAGGGACAGGTCAGAGGGGACCCTACATTGGATGAGCTTGAGATTCCTCTGTGTCCTTTTCCCTTTCCCCTTTCTGTGTGATCTGGTCTCTGCCATGTCTCAGGGTCCACCCCCACTGCCAACAGTGGCCAACAACAGCCAACTGTGATCTCTGAGTTTCCAGGCTGCCCTTTCCAGTGTGAGAATTCATCTCCATGGATTTCTTTCGTAAAAACCAAAGAAAGGATCGTAGCAAATGAGACTTTCAAATACGATTAAGTGGAGGCTGGAGCGATACTGCACTAGGTCGGGTGCTTGCCTTGCATGTGGCTAACCCGGCTTCAAACCCCGGAATCCCACAGGGTCCCCTGAGAACCATCCACAGTGATCCAGACTGACTGCAGAGCCAGGAGTCAGCCCTGAACACTTCGAGGCATGACTCTCCCACCCAGAGATAAAGAAATCAAGTTGAATTAAACTCTGAAACCCTGTTGTAAGCTTGGGGGTCAAGTCTAAGATGCTAGAAGCCACTACGGTTATCAGAACCTCCAACGCATGATGCTCTGGCTCATCTCTCTATTCAGACAGACACAGTTCCTGAATCTGCATGTCCTCCTTGTGCCAGGCCTGTGACTCCTCTCTGGAAACTTCCAGCTTTAGCCTACATGCTGCCAAAATGAGCACTTCCTATGCTTTCCCTGCTTGGATGGCAATGAGGGGGTAGCTCTCCCCACAGTGCTCAGGGGCACTGGGAGGGGGGCATGCCAGCCAGCCGGGCAGGCAACTCAGTGTTGGGGCCTGAGGGTGTAATGCTGCCTGTGCTCTGTAATGCCTGAGGCCTCTGGCGCTGGGGTCCAGGGGGCATGGGGTCCCAGGGATCTGATCTGGGCCAGATAAAGTCCTGATCTAACCCCAAAGCTATGTCCCTGGCTCTCAGTTTCTTAGTACACACAGACTAGGGTTTGCCGAGAACCAAGGGGTCCGCTTTGGGGTCATCCTAGTTCCCAGGGACGCGTTGCTTATCCCAGTTCCATGCCCAGCTCTGCTTTACCGTCATCACCAAGGACACACTCACCTGTACAGGTTGTATGTTTCCATCAAGGGGAAATAGGGGCCAAGGCTGTTTTCAAAGTCGTCCATGTGTTTCGAGAACTTGGACACCAAGTCATGAATAGGAAGCTTATTGAGTATGTTGTCAAGGTTGTGACCAGAGGAATTCAGTTTCTCTTTGACATCTGAAAACAAAAGTGAGCTCAGTAAGGCCTTTCCAAGACCAGAGAAGAAACCCTGACCCTAGTGCGGGAGCCAGGCGGAAACGCTTGGCTCCTCCTTGGTTATTCCCAGGGGATGTGTGTGTGTCAAGGAAAGTGAAGGCTCGACCACAAGCACGGACGTAGCCCAGGTGGCAGGAAAGCAATCACTTCACAGAACAGCGAGCCACGAGCGCTGATGGCACCAATTCAGGGCTGCATCAAGTCAGTTTTCTTCTTTTTACTACTTTTAAAGAAAGAGGTGGGCCAAGGGAGATGAAGTTGCATGGTATGCATCCTGGGGGCAGGCATTTTTCTAAGTGTTAAGTTTCTATAATAAAAATGTTGAATGTCTACAAATGTCATTTATTCCATTGAGAAAGAGATTTTGGGGGGAGTTGGGGGAGTTCCCAGCAATAGATGAGGGGGTTGGTTCCTGATGAGTGTTTGAGCTCAGCGATGCTGCAGATGCCAAGGGGTGAGGGGCACCAGGGCCATACCTGGTGGGGCAGGAGGGAGGGTATGTGTGCTGGGGATCAAACTCAAGCCTCACGAGTGCCCAGCACATGTGGCACCTCTCTGAGATACTGATCCTGCTGGAGGGAGAAGTGCCTGGTCCCCTCTAACTCAGCGACACTGAGGCTTAAGAAGGTGAGTACGTGTTCACATACTTTGCTGCAGAGAGCACTCGAAACGGAACTGAAATTGAGGTTTATCTAACTCTTAAGTAATAAAGGTAAAAGGTAAAGGCCCTCCCGTTGATCGTCGATTTGCTCGAGCGGGCCCAGTAACGTCTCCATTGGAGACTTTGTTGTTACTGTGTCTGGCATATCGAATACTCTCGATAGCTTGCCGGGCTCTCCGAGAGGGGCGGAGGAATTGAACTCAGGTCGGCCATGTTGGCCACTTGTAAGGCGAACGCCCTACCGCTGTGCTATCGCTCCAGCCCTTACACTAGTGTGTCAGGATGGCCGAGTGGTCTAAGGCGCCAGACTCAACTCTTAAGTAATATTCAAAGAATTTTTCTTCTTCTTTTTGGGTCACACCCAGCGATGCTCAGGGGTTACTCCTGGCTCTGCACTCAGGAATTACTCCTGGTGGTGCTCGGGGGACCATATGGGATGCCGGGGATCAAACCCTGATAAACCGCGTGTAAGACAAATGCCCTACCCACTGTGCTATCACTCTAGCCCTGAAAGAAAATAATTTAATAACAGGGAACATTTAATAATGTCTAAGGAACAGCATTCAGAAACATAGTCACTTCCCAGGAAGAGCTCAGAGCAAGTGGGTCCAGGAGCCTTTTCTGTTCAAGTCTTACTTGACTCGAACAACCTGAGGTGGAAATTATGCCTTTGTCTCTTATGTACACCCTCCCCCTTCACACACACATGCCTCCAAACCAATCATTTCCCAGTAGTCTAATAGCTGCTATGAATATTCTGCCTAATCTTTCAGACAGGAGAGAAGGAGACTGGCTTCAACTTTTTGGAAAGTGTGTCCCATGAATGACCAAGAACAAAAGTCTCCCCAACCTATCTGAAGTTGGCTTCATCGGCAGTGGCTCTTGATGTGGACATGCTAAAAATGTCCCATACACGCACACTCTGGGCCTGAAACACGGGGGGAGTGTCTGCAGCCGCAGAGACAAGATGAGAAAGAAGGAAGAAAGAAAGGGAGAAAGAAAGAGGGAGGGAGGAAGGAAGGAAGGAAGGAAGGAAGGAAGGAAGGAAGGAAGGAAGTGAGGGGGGCGGGAAACAAAGGCGAGCTGCTTGAATAGGTGACTCCAGGGCTCCTGGCCACCTTGGGGAGGATGACCAGCTGGTCACAGGGTCGTCTGAGGAGGGGACACCTCCCTTCTTCCCTGGGCTGTTCACTTAGCTCTGAGGGCTGGAGGGCTCAAGCCCATCACTCCGCAGCGGCCCAGAGCAAGGCCAGGTGTGCAGCGGCCCCAGATCCCAGATGCGGCTTTCGCGGGTCACCCCTGGGATTCTGAGGCATGTGCCCCCGACATGCCCCGTCCCCGCACTCCCTGCTGGCTCGCCCCTGGCCCCTCTGGTGGTTCTGCCCAGGCCTTCTGAGGCTGCTCCCTCCAGGGAGCCTTCCCTGACGCCCTGCCTCCCGGGTCCTCGGCTGGCACCTCAGCACTTCCCCAGAAAGCAGAGAACGGCCGTGTGCACGCGCAACCAAAGGGTGAGCAGGGCTGTGCCCCCAGTCCCGGCAGCATCCCTGGAACTCTGATGAGAGAGTATGCAGGGTTGGGGTAGGCGTGGCCAGGTGCAGGTGGGCGCTGAGGGCTTCTCTTTGTCCTGGAGAGATGTGAGCAATAAGCAGGAGCGGCTGGGGCGGGGCCTGGAAAAACATTGGCTTGTGCTGAAGGGATGACTTGGGGAGTGGGGAGGGGGAGGGGCGGGGGCGGGGCAAGGCAGTGGGGGCTTTTGCAGGAGGGGCTCCCCTGGCCTCCCTTGCCGCACTTCCAAAGAGAGCTGCAAATGTTGGCAAGAAAGAGGAGCAAAGAAAGGAAGCAGATGAGTGAGCGGTGGGGGGCAGAGCCTTCCCCTGCGGGTGCGGGTCAGGGGACTTGTCTTAAAATAAATTAAAGGGAACAGGCAGGACACCTACAGCCGCAGGGGGTAGGATAACAGACCCACCCCCCTTTAAAACCAAAGCCTTCCTGGGGTAAAAGAACCCTCTAAGGAAAACAAAAATGACTCTAACACATAAGTTTAAAATTGATTGGCCAACACTGTGAAAGTCGCTGTATCACTGTATCACTGTAATCCCATTGTTCATGGATCTGCTTGAGCGGGCACCAGTAAAGGTCTCACAACAAATTGTGAGACTTGTTGTTACTGTTTTTGGCATACTGGATGCATCATGGGTAGCTTGCCAGGCTCTGCCACACTGTGAGATACAAAAGTAACTAAAAAAGAAAAAAGAAAGAAAAAGAAAAAGAAATTAAAAACAGGAGAGTCTTTTATTGGCAACGAGCCTAGGCTTCGCTCCTTGGCTGCAGGAAACTGTTTTCATTCTGCAACTGGGATGGCGCCCAGTTGGCCGGTCTTTAAAATTATAAGCCCCTTCAAGAGCCTCAAAAAACATTTACATCAGCATCAGGAGTCAGATGAAAAGCTTCCGAAAAGGGCAGAATAAATTTTGATAAATAATACTTCTTTCCAAAAAAAAAAAAATTAGTGTTAAGATCGTAATAACTGGCAGGCGTTTCCCCTCCCGCACAGTGGCCGTTGGGAATCAGCTGGGACCCAGGCAGGAGAGAGGCAGGAGCTCAGAGTGAGCCCTTCTGGGGGCGGGGCCGAGAGGCACAGGGCAGGAACTTCAGAGGAACAAGGACTTTCACGTCTGACCAGGTGCCTGAACAGGAACAGGCCATAGGAACAATCGGCCAAGGGCTGTGTACAACTTAAAGCGAAGTGTATTAATCACCAATGGTACCACTTATGGCAAATGCAGTCGCAACCTTGTTTGTGGCACATGAAAACTGTGCCCCTTAGAAGCAGTGCGGCCTGTTAGAGTGCAGAAAACTCACAGGCTTCTACATATGCTGGGTGAAACGGACTCAAGTCTCCATCCCCCTTTCTGGCAGAAGTTAGGTGGAGTCTGTGCGAAAGGAAACAGGGGGCCTCCCTCGTACCTCTCCAAGCGCCGATCTGACTCTTGTTTGTTTTCTTTCGAGGTCAAGCCTGGCGGTGCTCAGGGAGCTGGCTCTGCTCTCAGGGATCACCCCTGCTCACGCTCAGGGCACCTCACAGGGTGCCAGGAATCGAACCTAGTTGGAATGTGTGCAAGGCAAGTTCCCTGCCCACTGTACTCTCTTTCTGGACTGCCAGTCTATTTCTAGATCAGACGGCTGAGACGGTCAACACATGGGAGTGTGGGAGCAACCCTCAGGCCGTTCTGGACAGCAAAGGATGCATGATTGGCTTGGTTTTGTTCTTTTCTGAGGGAGGGGCACACCTGACTGTCCTCAGGGTCTGCACTCAGGGATCATTCCTGGAGGACTCAGAGGACCATAGCTGGTGCCTGGCGTTAAATCCAGACCACTGTAGTATCTCTCCCACCCCTAATTATTGTTTTCTAAATATGTGAATGTGCTTCACATATTGTTATTTCTAAATTATCATTTTTTAAATATGTGAATGGTAAAGCCCAGAGACACTTAAACAAGTGTCTAAACTAAACAGTTTTCAAAGTTTCTGGAAGAGAGAATATTTTATGAAGGAAAACAACACAGTTCTTCACAATGCATTGTGTGTGTGTGTGTGTGTGTGTGTGTGTGTGTGTGTGTGTGCTGACTGATCAATTCTCAGCAAGGAGGAAGAACCAAGTTACTCCAAACTGCAAATCTCACCTGATATGACAAGTTGAGTTTGCTTTTCCACCATCTTAGGGATGTCATTAAAGGTTGCATTGCCCTAGAAAATATTTCCAAATAAATAAAGAAGTAAACAGGAGAGCAATTCCCTAGTTCTCTTATTTTTTCCCCAGCTCAGTATGGACTAGAGAAGCAAAAATAAAGTATAACATTCATCTTTAGGCTGGAACAATCAATCACTTTGAGGGTCGGTAAAAGTCTAAACGTAAAAGCAATTTTCGGGAAAGGACGTTCTGCCAATTATAGCTTGTTCTTAGTAACCTGCATCCTAGGCAGAGGAGAGGGAAAAGGAGAGCAGCCTGGCTTAGGGCCCATATGCGCACAGGCCTGGGCTGTCTCCAAGACCAAGAGGGCAGCATCTTGTATTAAAAACAGCACAGGAACCTGCCCCACCTCTGCAAATACGGGCCCACAGGAAGGCAAAATCAAATTCTTGTTTCTTTTTTGAGTTGTATGGCTCCAGCGTATTATTTTGCACATCACAGATGCTCAACACGATGACAGTGGTGCCACAATTTGTGCGAATTTAAACACATTCAACTGAGAGTCACTAGTGGTACACACCACCATCAACTTGCCAATAAATACTTTTTGAACTGGAAGGGACAAGATTGTTCAGATCACAGCTACCACACTCCTTGGGATTCCCCCTCCAGAACATCACTGTTTCCTTCCTTCCTTCCTTCCTTCCTTCCTTCCTTCCTTCCTTCCTTCCTTCCTTCCTCCCTCCTCCCTCCCTCCCTCCCTCCATCCCTCCCTCCCTTCCTCTTTCTCTCTCTCTTTCTTTCTTTCTTTCTTTCTTTCTTTCTTTCTTTCTCTCTCTCTTTCTCTCTTTCTTTCTTTCTTTCTTCCTTCCTTTTTTCTATTATCTATTTCCTTATTTTTTCTTTCTATTATCTATTTCCTTAAGTTTAATCTACTCTTTAAAATGATGAGAGATGATGTTACTCTATTTAAAAAATGAAACACCAAATCACAAAACGTACCTGTTTGACCAGGCTGAACAAATTGATTCTGTCCACATTGTTGATACTATTAACTTTTTCATCTAGGGATGGAAGCTGAAAACATATGTGAAAGAAAAAGACAAAGTGGTTACCACACACACACACACACACACACACACACACACACACACACACACACGTGCGCGCGCGCGCGCACACACACACACACACACACACACACACAAGATGGTTAAAAAAGAGACATCTTGTATCGAATTCAGTTTCTATATTATAGGGTATAAATTTGGTTCAAATTATAGAGTATTGTTTGAGGAACATAGCCTTTAGAGCAGTCATTTTTAGATGTTGGAGGTTCTCTGGATGCACTTGGCTAAAACTGAAGGAAAGAAATTGAAAGAAATTGAAAATGACCTCACAATTTTTGGACATAGAACATTATTGAATACATTGTGAACAGCCGTTTTTTTCTTTTCTTTTGTTTTGTCTTTAAAAAACACACATTTACAAGCAGTCCAGTGTTTAAGCTGGTGAGTGGTGTGAAACCATTCTTCCCTTCCCAAGGCGGGACACAGGCTTACAAATTCTCTTTTCCCAAACCTTGGCAGATGTCAGGGGTCTCCTGCCTTGGGGTGCAGAGAAGGAAACAGTTCCCTGTTGGTGACAATTCCTGACAAAGAGACCAAGTTCCAGTAATAGCAGGAGGGAGTTGTCAGGCAGAGTCAAAGGAAGGGACTTAATAAGAGCCATACAGTCCAGGGACAGTGTCCTGAAATATCAGTCACCAAAGAAGAAGAATGAGAAAGAACTCCAGTTCTAAGGAGCCAAAAGACTTGCAAAGTTACAGCTGTGTGGTCTTGGACTGGAAACCATGACAAAACTAGTTGTAAAGAGCAGCTTTTATTATTAATTTGGAAGGTGGGTGAAAGGTGGGGCACACTCAGGCGTGCCCAGGGGCTATTCCTGGCTCTGTGGTCAGTAGCGACCCCCTGGTGGTGCTTGAGGGAGACCATATATGGTGCCAGGAATTAAACGGGGGGTCTGTCACAGAGAGGCCAGGACCTTACCTTCTGTATTGTCTAGCCCCTAAAGAGCAGGTTCTAGAAAAATAGGCAAAACTTGAGCATGCACTGTGGATCAGATGGTAGAGTGGGGCGTGCCCTAGTTTGGATCATCAATGGTGGTTATGCCAAGTTTGGAAGTACCCTGAGGGATTGGAATTATTCTCCCCAGGTCACCTGTGGTGATAAGCGAGGCCCGAAGACCCCAGGGAGCCTGAGGCTAACGGGCCCTGGAGAGGTGGCCCCACGCCTACACTGCTGTGCCCTCACCCTGTCCACGGTGCTGTTGACGTCCAGGTCACTTAAGTATAATCGCAGGTTTGAACAACTGGGCTCGACCTTGCAGTCCCTGTGGAGTGTTTGCTCCACGTTGCCCTGGACCTGGCCCAGGCTGCTGCTGAGGCGTCTGGTCAGTGCCTTCAGCTCCGTTAGGTTCCTGTTCACATACGTCAGCCCTTCTTTGGTCCTTCTGATTACTGCAAAAAACAGGGTTCATGTCAAGAGAGGTGCCCGTTTACTTGGTCGCAGCAAAATCCTTTTTTAAAAAATTTATTATTATTATTATTATTAAATTGTTTATTGGGTCACCGTGAGAACAGTTACAAAGCTTTCGTGTTTGAGTCTTGGTCATACAGTGATCAAATACCCATCCTTTCACCAGTGCCCATTTCCCACCACCAACAACCCCAGTATACCCCCTCCCACTCCTCCCCCGCCTGTGTGGCAGATAACTTCCCCATTACTCTCTGTCTACTTAGATTACATTCAATATTTCGACACCAGTCCCAACATTATTATTTGGAATTTTCCTCCAACAGTCAGACCTGCCAAAGAGGCAACATTAGACAATTTGTTTTCGATTGCTGGTTATGAAGAGCAAATGATGTTGCGTGGCTGCCTGTGGCTGCATGATCTTGGAATTTTAAAATTTTAATAATTAGGTTTGGAGTGATTTCTACCAAGAGCTGCTCGGTTCCAAGATTCACTTATGTGTCTCCAGTATTGTGGCCATTAACAAGTTTAATAAGTAGCCAGGAGGGCTGTTTGTAGGTGGCGTCTTGGGTCTCCTGGGGTGGGGGAGGAGAGGGACTGGCTCCCCCCCCCACCCCCCCGCGAGGCTCGGTGTGTGTCATCACTGCTGGCCCGTACCTGGCATTCCTATTCAGTTCTGGGAGATGGTGGCTGCCAGGCTTCCCAGAAAACAGGTGGAGGGACAGCACCCGTTCCCAACTGGGGTGGCCTGGTGAAGGTGGCCTAATGCAGAGTCCGGAAGCATGTTTGCCGAAAGCCGCTGGGTTCCAAGATTCATTTGTGTGTCTCGCAAAATCCTTTTTCACCCCTGCGAGGACCCTGGAGGAGCTTGTAGTGGATTCAGAGTTGCCACCAAAGCACCCAGAGAGGCCCCGTGGGTGTGACAGTGGAAGAGGAAGAGAGGCGTGCAGCCAACCAGCCCAGCCTTTCCAGGCAACGCGGGATGCCTAGTCAGAGCACTGACTGGCCAGCCTGACTGCGTGGCCCAACCCGGAAGTGACTGGCCTGGAGGAACTTCCACGCACACAGATGCAGATCCCACCCAGACGCATCTCAGCCAGCGTCCCTCCAGAGTCAGCGGGAAAACCGCGCGAGCAGCAGAGAAGGTCAGCCCCCCAGCTTCACAACTGCCATGGGAAATGGGCAGTTCTGATATTCTTTAGCGATTTTTCTCTTGGAGCATTGGCAAGGACATGCTGGTGGTCATCACAAAATGTGGGAAGAGTATCCAGGCTGAAAGTCCTCAGAGGTGGCTTTTTTTTTTTTTTTTTTGGTTTTTGGGTCATACCAGGCTATGTTCAGGGGGTTACTCCTGACTCATGCAGGCAGGAATTGTTCCTGGCGGTGCTCGGGGGACCATATGGGATGCTGGGAATCGAATCCGGGTTGGCCACGTGCAAGGCAAATGCCGTGTGCTATAGATCCAGCCCCAGTGGTGGCATTTTTAACCTACTCTATTTGGGGATGCCCAGGGCTGATCCTTCTCCTGGGAAATCTCTAGGAACAGTTCATTATCCTGCTCTCTGCCACAGGAGTTCCCACCAGGGACAGGAATGTTACTCTGATGCAGAAAAGCTCAGGCTGACACGTGCTAACCGGATCTGACCTCGTGAAAATTATTCAGGTCCCAAGATGAGACCACAACCTAATGGTCATGCATGAACTGATACTAAGCCCAGTGCCACAGTCCATCACCTCAGGGGAACAGAAAAATCTCAGAGTTGGCTTCAACCAATGTCTTCTCTTGAATTTTAGTCAAGTCATGTCAATAGTAGTTGAGGTTCTAATAGTTTTAAGACGTTTAAAAAAATAAATCTTAGACCTCTGGGCCTCAGTTTCTTTTTTTTATATTTCCCATGCTCCTTCCAGAATAAATAAATAACGATGGTTCAGCTCAAGTAGAGGCTCCATAAAGAGGTACCATGGATGGGGCTGGAGTGACAGTACAGCCTGTTTGCCTTGCACACAGCTAATTTTGGGATCGATCCCTGGCATTCCATATGGTTCCCTGAGCCCACCAGGAGTGATGCCTGAATGCAATGCCAGGAGAAAACCCCGAGGTCTTCCAGGTGTGGCCCAAAACACCAAAACCAAAACAAACCAAACCAAAATCCCCAAACCAAAAACAAACAAACAAACAAACAAGTAAAGGGCACCATAGCACAACCAAAAGCAAGAACCCAAGTGCAACTCGAACCCACACAACATCCCTCTCCCACTTCATTGTGGTTTGAGCCCTCCCAACTTGGACTTGAAGGTGGACTCCTTTAAGCAAGAAGAGATCAAGAGGGAGTGATGGGTGATGGAATAATAGATGGTCCAGGATGCCTGTGTCCATTTGGGCAGTACCCATCCATAGAGTCCAGGGATGCAGTTGCTGTTCTGCCCTGTCCCAAGAAAGCCTCAAACAGCGATTCCTCCAAAAGCCAAGCAATTGATGCCAGCAAAATACCTGTTGGGAGTACCATTTCTGGGAATATATCCCAAGGATGCAAAAAAGCACAGTGGAAATAACATCTGCACCTGTACATTTACTGTAGCACTGTTCACAATAGTCAGGATCTGGAAACAACTCGAGTGCCTGAGAACAGATGACTTATTAAAGAAATTTTGGTACATCCACACAATGGAATATTATGCAGCTGTTAGGAGAGATGAAGTCATGAAATTTGCTTATACGTGGATGGTCTTGGAAAGTATCAGGCTACGTGAAGTGAGTCAGAAAGAGAGGGACAGACATAGAATGACTGCACTCATTTGTGGAATATAAAATATCATAATATGAGATTAACAACCAAGGACAGTAGTGACAAGGGCCAGGAAGAATGCTCCACAGTTGGAAGCCTGCTTCCCAAGTTGGGGGAGAAAGCAGCTGGGATAGAGAAGGGATCACGATGTCAATGATGGGTGGAGGAATCACTCGGGATGGGAGATGTGTGCTGAAAGTAGATAAAGGACCAAACAGGGTGGCCTCTGAGTATCTGTATTGCAAACCCTAAGGCCCAAAGTAGAGAGACAGTAAGAAGGAAATTGCCACAGAGGCAGGGGGAGGAGTGGGATGGGGATGGGGGGGATGGACACTGGGAACATTGGTGGTGGAAAACGTGCACTGGTGTTTGATCATTGTATGACAAACTTAATCATGAAAGATTTGTAATTACCTCACTGTGATTCAATTTAAATAAATAAATAAACAGATGTAGGACTGGTAAAAAACCAACCAATCAACCAACCAACCAACCAAACAAACAAACAAAAAAACCTGCTGGGTCATCTCAGGTCTGCGCAGACCACTATGCTGTGTGTCCCAAGTCAGAGGAAAGTCATCTCAGAGCCTCAGCATTAGACTGGTAATATTTTATCAAGCTCACAGCGTATTTCCCCTGACCTTCAGCTCAAACATGATTGACACAAGTCAATTTGCATGATCCTGCTGCCCAGAGGGTGCTGGGTGCAGGAGTCTGCAAAGAATTGTTACGGGAAAAGTTAGCCGGAACTATTTTTATATTGAGTTTTGGTTTTTGCCTCAATTCTTTGCTTCTGAAGATCTGGGGATCAAATCCAGAGCCTCACACAGGCAAGGCAAGTACCTTTTTGCTGAACCTTCACCCTCCACCTGTCAGAGCAATTAATTAAACGCACTTTGAGAAACTCTGGCAGCCAGAGAAAATGAACTTCGGCAGCCAGAGAAGAATCAACTTATTCAGATAGAATTATTTTTTCAGACAGAAATTTATTCTTTTACTAATACAAGAAGCAATTAGGAGAAACATTCAGTTCATTTTAATTGCCTTTAATCCAAGGATTTTGAGTCCAATGCTCTCAGCCATCACACAAGGCAAACTGCTGTGCTACGCAGGGAGGGCATTTGCCTCGCACGCGGCTGACCCGGGTTCAATTCCTCCGTCCCTCTCGGAGAGCACAGCAAGCTACTGAGAGTCCTTATGGCGTATTCGATATGCCAAAAACAGTAACAAGTCTCACAATGGAGACATTACTGGTGCCTACTCGAGTAAATCAATGAACAATGGGAGGACAGTGCCGCTGCTGCTAATCCAAGGAATTGCAATTAAGACATGAAAGCTGGGTAAGACATGGGGACATGATGAAGGTTCGCATCAGCAGCCCTACGCGCTCCCAGCCCCTGCCTAGCCCTTAGCTGCTCATCACATTGGAGTTGGCAGGATTAGAAAGCGAAGCACAGAGCTGGCACCCAGCTCACAGCAGAGGCCCAATGACCATCCATCACAGCAACACAGAGATCAGGATGCAGTGGGCTAGATGCTCTCACGACCCATCCCAGACACCCCATGGGAGCCAGCATTCCAAATGCGCCAAACCCCAAGGGTCCCTGGGTACCATCCTGAGGTCACACCAGCACCTGACCTCCGCGTTCCTTGCTTTTTCTCCAAAGTTATAGCAACTGTCTCACCACAGATAGCTCGGAAACACAACCTGCTATCTTACCAGCTCCAGTGCCCAGGAGGCAACTCTCTGGGCGGGGGTGGGGTGTGGGGTGGGGGGAGGAGGGGCTGCCCTCCCTGCACTAATGTCTCCCAGGGTCAGCAACGGGCAGGAAGAAGGAGGCACGGGGAAGGTTAGGGGTGGAAGCAGGGAGAATGGGCCTTGCAGGCTCTTCCTTGTCTGGGCCTCAGTTTCCTTGTATGGACAATCCGGCTGGTGATGAGAACAGGCACTCCCAGCCCCTGCCCAGCCCTTAGCTGCTCATCACATTGGAGTTGGCAGGATTAGTAAGCGAAGCACAGAGCTGGCACCCAGCTCACAGCAGAGGCTTGAGGTATCAGCAGGAAGGACACGCCTTCAGATGCCACACTGACCCTTCACAAAGTCAGGCAGAAGTCCAAGGGGTTTAATCAATTAACCACCTTAATGAACGGGTGTTAATGAATAAAATCACTAAACTTTCAATCCCTGAAAATTCATCAGTTCAGACTCATGCCATGTCCTGGTTGTCACTCTTTCCAGAAGCGTGGGAGGCCTTCAGCCCAGAGGGAGAGAGTGCCCCAGGGAGGGGCCAAGTCCCCGCGTCCCACGCCACCTCCTCCCGTGCGGCCCTCTGACTCAGGAACAGTATTTCATGGATGGGAACATGTCACGCCTTTCACCAGGCTGACCATGTCCTCCGACCCTCCCCACACCCGGATGCTCGGAGGTCCTCAGGCAACAGCTGGACAGGCAGCTGGGTGCGTCGGTGTCTCTGTACACTCTGACCCCCTTGTGGCAACTTAAGATGAATAGAAGTATGAGGGGGAGGGCACATTTGCTTTGCAGCATGCAGCTGACGCGGGTTCAATCCTCGGCATCCCACAGGGTCCCAAGAGCACTGCCAGGAGTGATTCCTGAGTGCAGAGCCAGGAGGTAGACCTGAGCACAGCCTTGTGTGGTCCCCAAACAGAAACAAACACACACACAAACACATTATGTGTGAGAGGTCAGGACACCACTCAAAAGGTTGAAGCTCAGGTCTAGGGTGCTCAGGGCTCCAGGCTTGATTCCCCCGACACCCTGGGGCCTGATGAGCACTTCCAGGTGTGGCTCTGGCAGCCTCCAACACTGCTGAGACCCACCGAGGACACGGCCAACGCTCCTGGTGAACAGGCAGGTGCCTACTGTGTAGAGGTAGGGGAGGAAGGGACGAGCAACCAACACACCGCCATTCCCGTTGGCCACTCCTCCAGAGCAGGTCTGGACAGTGAGTGAGTCGTTAGGGGGTCCCTCAGCGGGGTCCCTGCTGCTCTTGAGCCCTCAGTACTGAAGCCACAGACAGACAGACCGCCAGCAGGAGGTACCGTTCTCCAACGCCCTTCCCGTGGACACAGCGGCCCCTGTTGCTCAGACCATGCCGCGCGCCTCTCTGGACTCGCCCAAGGAAGACGCAGCCCCCAGGTCCAGCGAGTGACTGCCGGGGCCATCAAGGGCCTCAGCCCCTCCCACCGCAGCACTTACCCTGGGCCATGGTCAGGACGTCTTCTAGAACAGGGGACACTTTGGGCTTCAGTGCCTCGTGGATTCTGTCTCCCAGCAGTGGTTTAACGTCTAGGGTGGAGCGGAGGGGATGGTGAGGGTGTGTGACCTGGGCCCCTCCTGCTAGCCCCCTCTTGCCCCCCCCCACCGCCACAGAAATGAGCCTCATCCCTGGGCTCTCCTGCAGCGAGACCCCGGTTCATTGTAGACCCTGCAGAGGGCTGCGGGTCGGGTTTGTGGGAAGTTGGGACTTTGGCTGGAACTTTGTGGTTTAAAATACACCCCCTGACGTCAGCATGATCCGTCTCCACCTGCCAGCTACTCTGGTGGCCCTCCAGTGGCATACACTTGACCCCTGTCACCCAGTTTACCCGCCTCCCTTCCTCATCCCTTCTGGGGGCCACTTATAATCTAAGAGTGTGTTTTGCTTCTCCATTTGCCTTGTTTCTGGCCTGCCACTGTGTGCAGGGCAGTCTCCCGGCCTCTGCCTTTTTCCATCTGCATAAGTTCACTAAGTGTCATCCCCTCAAGGTCCACCCACACGTCAGCTTCCCTGTCACCGGTCCACCCACACGTCAGCTTCCCTGTCACCGAGGAGTGTTCCACAGCAGGGTTTACTCATTAAGTAACAAACCGCAGACTCCCCACAACTCTGGAGAATCTCTCTCCTGTTCCCACGGTCATGCAGAAACGAACAGCACACTTCACCGCCTCGTGTCTTGCGGGCACTGCATCTCCTAGCCAGAGCAAGCAACTCAGCGGTGAGGTTAAATTGTACTCACTGTCCAGGTCGGAGAACACTCTTTCCTTCGTGGGATTATACTGGTCCACCATGTAATAGATTTGCTAAGGAAAGAAATAAACAGACCAAACATGAAGCCACCCCATCTAATAATGTTCAAAACCACAGTAAGGAGATTTGACATACAAACATTTTCCTGAATGACATTTTTAAAGCAAGCAGCTTTCGAGAGAGAGTTTTATTTCTGGACAGCCAGCTTTCTTAACAGCACTCCAAAGCACTCCTGGCCTAAGAGACATGATGGTTCTACTTCTGGAACTGGCCGTGAGGCTCTCGGGGTTGACCAACCCCCTTGGCATGTGACCAGGCAGACCAGGCATGTTGCTGCCTGCATGGCCACTGCCTTTTTTTGAGCAAAGAAAATAGTGGGCAGCTCAGACAAGGGGTGCCACCTCCTGCTGGAGGAAGTACGAAGAATGCAATCACCTTCTGGAACCTTCCACACGAGGACAGCTGACGTCCAGCTGCAGCCTGCAAAGGAGCCCAGGCTCCTGTCGACTGTGTGTCCCTTCCCTTCCCCCCACCCCCACAAACTACTGGTCAGCCTGGACCTTCACTCCCCAGAAACTGGCCGTTATTTCAGTGGAAATGGGCACTGCTATTTAATTGTTCATGTCTATAATGATTAAAAGAAATTTAGCTATCTTCTGCTTTTAGGGCCACACTTGGCCATGCTCAGGGGTTACTCCTGGCTCTGCCTTCAGGAATCACTCCTGGTGGTGCTCAGGGGACCATATGGGATGCCGGGGATCGAACCCAGGTTGACTGCGTGCGAGGCAAACGCCCTACTCGCTGTGCTATAGCTCCAGCTCCTGTCTTCTTATGCACAGGACCAGTTCTACTCCTCTGCAAACTGCCCCAGATTCTTTCCCAGATTGGCGAGAGCACTTCAGGATCGCACATAGTCTGAGTGTCCCTCACAGCCATGGCGATCCTTCTAGGTCTGGGAAAGCAAGGCCATCCTCACCAGGTGGGACTGCTGTGTGAGTCTCCCTGGAGAGCCTTTGGAATGAGGGATTCAGAACTGGAATTTGGAGCCAGAGAAATAGTTCAGCGGAAGAGCTTGACTTGCACATGGCTGACCCAGGTTTGATCCGCAGCATCCCACATGGTCCCCGGTGCACTGCCAGGAGTAATTCCTTGGTGCAGAGCCAGGAGTGACCCGTGAGTATCATCACGTGTGACCCTCAAACAAAAACAAAATAGGAATGTATTCACAGATTTGGGGAAATGGAACATTTGCCTTTGTGTACAGGCTGTAAACATTAAACATATGGATCAAATTGACTTCTTTCAATATTGACAAAAATGTGTCCACTTCTTGTTCTTGCCATTTCAACCACACATTGAGGAAGGAGTGACACATTTCCTGTGCTTCTATTTTTACTGATATACCTGGGAACATATCCTAGTGGGAGGCGGCCTTTGGGTTCTGTGGGCCATTGGTGTAGTCAATGGGTGGGGCCCACTCTGCGGGCGGGTTTTTACTCAGAATTCATTTTTTTTCCCCTTCTCTGTTCTGGAGGTGAGGAGAGCTCCCAAGCGGATCTTAGGCCATCTGGGCCACTCTCAGTGATAGCCCCTCAGCTGGGATGACAGTTCTACGCGGGGGCCCAGGGTGTGGTGCTACTGGGGGTCTAGGGCGCTGGGGACCACCAGGGCCACAGACAACACTTGGGCAGGGGGCAGAGCTCCAAGGCTCCACTCAGCGAAGCTCAGGAAGTCGTGTGGTGCCAGGGCTCAGAGTCAGTAGGGTGGCTTCACCCCTGGACTATCTTGGCAGCCCCCTGACGTCACTGTTGCAGTCATGTCCTCAGAGAGCAAGACGGGCCGGAGAGAGAGAGCAGGGGACGGGGCACTTGCCTTGCGTGTGGCCGCAGCAGCTGGCAGCCCTCATTGGAATCCCGGGCACCCCATATGGTCTCCTGAGCACTGCCAGTGGTCACTCCTGAGCAGAGTCATGAACAGTCTCTGACTGTTCACTGGGAATGGCCAACCACCATCACCACCACCAAAAAAAAAAAAAAAAAAAAAGGCCAGGTACTCCCATGCTTCTGGAGACAAACAGCCACCTGGGTTCCCTCACCTGCTCGTGCTCTCCTTTCTTCTCCTTTCTAGGGAATTCTCTGCATCCTCATGGATATTAAGCAACTCCAGATGTTTACGGAGTAGAAAGTTTTTGTTTTCATCTATTTTATTTATATTTTTGTTTGAGCCACGCCCAGAGGTGCTCAGGGTTCACTCCTGGTGGGCTCAGGGGACCACAGAGGGTGTCAGGGATCAAATCCAGGTCGACCGTATTCAAGGCAAGTGCTCTGCCTGCTGTGCTACCTCCCCGGCCCCTACAAAGGCCTTATTACAATAGCGACGTCCTACCAGGCCTGGGGAGCTTTTTCCATCAGCAGCAAGATCTTCTACAGACAAATCCTGGGCCGCTCAAATGGGTGGGATCCTGTACTACGGGCACTCTCATTTTACCTGATGTCGCCATAAATTGAAGCAGAAACAGCCAATTCTGAAATGATGCTCTGTGCACTCTCGGAACTCACTCACACTTTATTTCCTCAGTGAGGACACTTAAAATGAGCGCCCACCTAGACAGACTCTCTGGGCCCGCCTGGACCCCAGACACGGAGGAGGGGCCAGACCCATTGGGCAGAGTTTCCTTCGCATGTGGCTGACGTGACTTCAACCCCCAGCACCCTGTACGGTCCCCTGGGGCCTCCGGGAGTGATCCCTGAGTGAAGAGCCAAGAATAAGCCCTGAGTACTGCCAGGCGTGCCCTTCAACCCACCCCTCCAGAGGAAGGACTTGGAGGAACTCTGGGAAACCACAGTGGGAAGTGTCCTGGGGTGCGTGTCTGTGACCTTTACCTCTGGGATGGAGTTCAGGTAGGTTCTCAGGTCCTTTATGTTACTGACTGCCAGCTTCCGGGTATCGGTTCCCAGGTTCCTCATGTAATGATTTGCCATAAACACACAGACGATGCCAAAGCTGCGGGGATGGAAAGGAGAGAGACGAGCACAGACGTGTGAGCCAGGGCTCTGCCGGGGGCCCTGTAGCAGGTCGGCGGGAGTGAGGGGAGTCAGCCCCAGGGCCCTCTGCGTTGCCACAGCTTCTGCCCACACGCCGTCCTCGCCCCCATCCGGATGGGGCCCGCACCCCGCACTTGGAGAGGAGCACACCCAGGCACACAAGTGGGACAGAGGAGTGGAGCTGCACTCCCAGGAACGTGGAGGGGACACTGAAGTCACAGAGGGCGGAAGGGCTGTGTGTGCATGCGTCTATGTGCGTGTGTGCCATGTGTGTGCGTGTGCGTCTATGTGCTTGCGTGTGCATCGTGTGCATGTGCATATGTATGTGTGTGTTGCATGCATGTGTGTGCATGTGCGTGTGTATGTGTATGTGCACACGTGTGTGAGGTACACAGTCTCATCCCTGCCTGGGTCTGCATGAAGGTAAATACCCCCTTCCACAGCTCCGTCCCCCCAGAGAAGCCCGCCAGGGAAAATACCCAGTGGAGAGTGGTTTGGACATTCTGATGCCTTTGGATTCTCAGATTGTCATTGCTATTATTATTTTTTAAAACCAGTGTCCACGTTATGAAAGAAACACAAGGGGCTGGAGATATTCCAGGGGCTAAGTCACTTGTCTTACTGGCCACAGTCTGATCCCTGGCACCTCGTGTGATCCCCCAATGACCACGAACACAATCCTTGAGCATAGAACCAAGAGTAAACTTGAGCTCGTCAAGTGAGACTAGCACGGTAGCACTGTCCTCCGGTTGTTCATCTATTTGCTCGAGCAGGCACCAGTAACGTCTCCATTGTAAGACTTGTTGTTACTGTTTTTGGCATATCAAATACACCACGGGGAGCTTGCCAGGCTCTGCCTTGTGGGCAAGATACTCTCAGTAGCTTGCTGGGCTCTCCGAGAGAGACAGAGGAATTGAACCCGGGTCGGACGTGTGCAAGGCAAACGCCCTACCCGCTGTGCTGTCGCCCCAGCGAGTCTAAAAACCCAAAATTGATTAAAACCTCCTTCACAAGTTCTTTGAGGATGAAAATGCCAGAGGAGAGGGAAAGATGAAGTAGGAGAAGAGTTTCACCCATCAGGGCCAAGCACTGGTGTCCGTCCTCTCTCATTTTCCTTCCACAGAGAGAGCCAAACAAAGCAAAACTGTTCAGTGCTTATATTCGGGGACATAAAACTTTCACTAATGACATCATTTGTTCGTTTGCTTCATGGAAAGTCATGCTGATGTTCTTAGGATGCGGACACTTCTCTCCATGGGAGACACACTCCCCATCGTTTCCAAAGTTCTATCTCAAAGGCACTTTGCAAAAAACCCCTGCTCAATGTGGCAATAACATATATTTTTCCAGACACTTAAAATGTCTATATTTAATCATCTTAAGGACTCTTCACATTAGCAACTAAGGGTCCCTTTGACCTTTGAACGTTGCCAATTGGCGGGGCTTTGCCAGATCTGGCCACTAGATGTCAGCAAGGAATCACATAAACTCAGAAAACATTTTTTTTTTTAAACCAAATTGTAACTAAAATTGTTTCCGTGGAAGCTGTGGTTATGTTTCTAGAACAGCACTTTGCAAATAACCTGTAGAAAGACCGGAGTGGGGGGGGGGGGGTTCAGGGAGAGGAGAATGGTGTCTCGGGGGAGATTCTGGTGCAGAGAATGAGCTCTAAGACCCTTCCCCCAAGCAACACCCTTCCTGCACACGCGCTGTATCCGTAGGAAGTGAGCATGGGACCCTTTTCCCTTATTGCGCTTTTGGTTTTCTTCCTTTTCGACCACACCGGGAGCTTGGGGTTGCTCTGCCTGTGCTCAGGGGGAGCTGGGGTGCTGACTCAGGCTGCCAGCAGAGCCTGGACCCCCGCCCACTGGGCAACCCGGCCCAGGGACACTCTTGGCTTCAGAAGATCCGCATTCCTAAGAAACCTCTCAGTCCTGCCTGAATGGGGACACTTGTTTAGCTGTTGCTTGCTTTCCTGGGTCGGGCTCCGGGTCCTGGGATGGCTCCCCGCGGTGTTCAGGGAAGCTCATGGGGTGCTGGGACCGAACCCCACTGGACGTGTGTAAGGCGGGAAGCCCTACCCGGGACCCCAGCCCATCACGTTCTTGATTGTTCCAAAGAACACTGGTTCCCCGCTGGCCTCCCCCAAACCACTTCCCCCTAAGCTGGTTCCCTGCATTCCTCGGGGCTCCTTGGGGCTCCAAGTTTACCCCAGAGGTGGGCCAGGTAGGGCAGCTGGGCTGGACAGGCCAAAGGGACCGACCCTCCACGCCCCCACAGCCCCACCACTACAGCCATCGCCGTGCACGGTGTAAGGGAGGAACCACCCGGAGGGCTCCTGTCTGGCAGGTGGCTGACTGGGGACCCCAGCACCCAAGACGGTCCCCTGAGCTCGCCAGGAGAGAAACCTGAGTCTGGAGCCAGGAGTAAGCCCTGAGCCCTGCCAACATACCAAAAAGAAACAAAAAAAAAAAGACCCTTTTCTCTTGGGGCCTTCCCTTGCTGCGAAGGGACAGCCAGGAAAGAGCTTCTGGAGCTGCAGAGGGTCTCTGGTCCATGGGAAAGTGAACACATCCAGGGTGGGTGGGTTAAAGGCGTCCATACCCGCTGAAGGTGGGCTGAAGGGCTGGACTGACTCTTTGGATTCACTTAGCCATGTTTTCTGAGTCTGAACCCATCTTCGCTCCTTTGTTGGTTAAACTACTCATGAAATCAATGATGGTATGAGGCAGATTGCCCTGAAATTACTCTTATATTTAAAAAAAGATAAAATGCTAGTTTCAACACTCAGTTCCTGTCTAACCTTTTATTACCTGTATTACAAACCATAAGACCCAAAATTATATACATATATATATAGAGAGAGAGAGAGAGAGAGAGAGAAGGAAAGAGAGAGAGATGGGAAATGTACATGGGTGAAGGGACAGGTGTTGTAACACTATATGATCAAAACCCAATCATGAACAACTTTGTAACTGTGTATCTCACTGTGATTAAAAAATAATAATAATAAAATTTTTTAAAGTTAAAAAAAGAAATCTGCAACACAATAATGCTATGTAATGCTTTCTTTTCTTCTCTATTTTTTGTTTGTTTTTGAGTCATGCTTGGCAGTGCCCCGGGGCTACTTCCAACTTGATGCTCTAATGTTGAATTTTAAATGCAACATAATATATTGATTTATTTGACATTCATTTATTTCGTGTGGCGGCATCTGAGCTTAAAGTGACTGACACCACTGTTTTGTAGTAAAGTGCAGCCAAATTGAAAAGATCCAAACTCCTGCTAATCAAGTAGAGAGTCACTTAAAATAAAAGTATTGATCTGTACTCAGTAGAATTCAAGAAGAAAATTCATCACTTTCGAAGCTGATCTTCAGACCCACGGAACTTTCACATTCAAATCGAGGCTGGCGAATGTCAGTGTCAGCATTAGCCCGCAGAGAGCGGCCAGTGCCAAAGAGCGCGGAGGGAGCTCTGGAGAGGGGGACTTGGACATGTGGGTCAGGACTGATGCTTCGAACAAGTGTCCCCTGGATGGCCAGTTAGCAGTGTCATCTCTCCCATGTAGTCACAACAATCCGGAAATCTGGATTCTTATGCAACTACAGCCATCCTGAACAATGAACAACGAATCAGAGAATAAAAACATTACTATCATGGCTTCGGGTTCACTCCTGGGTGCTGACCGGCTGCTCTGGCTCGATGTTCCGGAGCTCCAGGTGCTGGCGGGGTCCTCTGCGTGGAAAGCAGGCACTGGGTCAGCTCCGGGCCCCTCTCCACCCCCAAACAGGCTCGACTGATGGTCTCCACCTGCAAGCCCTAAAGCTTCGATTTAAGCCTTTCCTGGCTGTGGGCTTAGGCACACCTCACTCTCTTTTGCTCGTCTGTTTTTTAGTCCATACCTGTTGCGCTCCAGGAGCACTATTGGTGGAGCTCGGAGGACTGTCGGTGGTGCCATGGATCAAACCCAGGTCAGCCACTTTCCAGGCAAGCGCCCTCCTGGCTGTACTATCTCTCTGACACCATTCCTTACGGTTTTTAAGTAAGGAAACTCAAATACTTTATATATGTTTTAAACACACACTCCTCAACTATAAGTATGAAGAAACTGAGAGGAACCACGTGTCAATGACCAGAAGCTCTCCACATTTGATTAAAAACAGGGACTTTTATGCGGTGGAACAAGATTTCTTGGGATTTGGAACATGCGGCTGAAATTTGTTTGTATAGCACATTGGCACTACATTTGAGTTTCTCTATGGACAGGACAGCTTTCTTGTAAATCTTCACACCTATAAGTATAAGTCAAGTGTAATGTTATTCTTTAAAAGTAAATACTTGTAGCTTTTAAAGAGCAAGGCTAAACTTTTCAAATGTAAAGCGATGTTCTTCCTGCCAATTTCTGTTGACTTAATGAAAGTAACCAATAAAAGGCAAATAAATATTTTCAGAAAGCAACTGATTTGGGAGTTTTTTTTTAGGGGTGGAGGGGCCACACCTGACAGTGCTCAGGGCTTACTCCTAGCTCTATGCTCAAGGCTCTCTTCTGTCATACCAGGGATTAAACTGGAGTTGGTTGAGCACAAGGCATGAGCCCTACCAGTTATATTATTCCTCTGACCCTGGTCTCATTTTGGGGGGGGGGGGTCAGACCTGGTGATGCTCAGGGGTTACTCCTGGCTCTGCACTCAGGAATCACTCCTAACGGTTCTTGGGGGTGATACAGGATGCCAGGGATCAGACCTGGACCAGCTATACGCTCTGCTCTCTGTACTACCGCTTTGGCTACCCTGGTCTCATTTTTAAAAGAGAGTTCTCAGCTGGAATGTAAACTAACTAGGGTGCTTCCTCCCATTAAAAAAGTCCCTCTGGACCAGAGAGAGAACAGGATTAAAGTGCTCTCCTTGTACTTTAATCGGGTGTTAGATCCCCCGAACTACGTATAGTCTGAGCACTG